GCTGAGCTTTCTTATCCCGGAGTTTGTTGAAGGATCTTAAAGTTATGTGAAAACCCTCCCCGTAGAGGCGATTAAATTTTGATTTAAAGCTTTCGTGACTGCAGTAATTCATATTCTTAGTTTTTTCGGTAAAGTCACGTTGAAGAGAAACAACAAAATAACAAAATATATATAAAACAATAAAAAATTCTCACGACGTTTCGACCATAACTCAAACGGTCATCATCAGGTGTGTCGGTTTGCATAAATTTATTTTGAAAACGGCATATTTATTTATATATATATAAAAAAATAACGTTTGCGTCACGCGCAACGATTGGCAGTTTGCCCAGGACTAGTCCATCTATTTTTTGAAAAGAGGAGGGGGGAGACGAAATTTGTTTTTATGTATGCTGTCTGAAAGCCACTGTAAGCGTGAACAATCAATCAAGAACTGAAATGATTTATCAAATCTTTCCAATGATTGCTAAGATAGAATCCATCTTCTCGGTTGAAATTGTCTCTGTGCTTGTATATGTGGATAGCCTCATGAACGAATCTCTCATGGAAGCCAGATGGCTTACATGCCATTGACTTTTCCAAGACGGAGGTTCTTTGTAAGCCATCTGGCTTCCATGAGAGATTCGTTCATGAGGCTATCCACATATACAAGCACAGAGACAATTTCAACCGAGAAGATGGATTCTATCTTAGCAATCATTGGAAAGATTTGATAAATCATTTCAGTTCTTGATTGATTGTTCACGCTTACAGTGGCTTTCAGACAGCATACATAAAAACAAATTTCGTCTCCCCCCTCCTCTTTTCAAAAAATAGATGGACTAGTCCTGGGCAAACTGCCAATCGTTGCGCGTGACGCAAACGTTATTTTTTTATATATATATAAATAAATATGCCGTTTTCAAAATAAATTTATGCAAACCGACACACCTGATGATGACCGTTTGAGTTATGGTCGAAACGTCGTGAGAATTTTTTATTGTTTTATATATATTTTGTTATTTTGTTGTTTCTCTTCAACGTGACTTTACCGAAAAAAACTAAGAATATGAATTACTGCAGTCACGAAAGCTTTAAATCAAAATTTAATCGCCTCTACGGGGAGGGTTTTCACATAACTTTAAGATCCTTCAACAAACTCCGGGATAAGAAAGCTCAGCTGATCGAGTCTCTCACCTTCCTGAAGAGATGCCGCGACTCTGGGGTAATACCAATCGCATTTACACTCACCTCTGCTACTGTAACTTCTTCTAATGCGAAACGAATTCTTTTCAAAACTAGCTTAGCTCTTATCTCAGAAAAAATCAGACTTATACGCACAGAACTAGATCAGTTAGACAAGACACTCTACAAATCACACTTATCATTGACGGCAATTATGTCCACATCGGATTGGGAACATGTAGACAATATGACTGCCTCTTCAGCTGCTACTATGTCGACCAAATGTAAGGAAAACCTGATTTCCAAATTTAACCTCCTCTTCAACAAAAGACCGGACCCACACACCAAAAAGTTAGACGTTAATAAAGTCGTAATTAATCGCAGTAACAGTTCTATTTCCGATGGTCTGAAATCCGTTTTAGCTAAAGGTCTAAACTTTGCAGTCACACCTAAACACATACCAGTTAATGATATAATTGCCCAAGTAGACGTTGCTCTCAGGGGCCTGGGTCACATCGCTGCAGACGTAGCAAGATCTGAAATCGCTGCAACCCTCAAAAACGCTAAGATGCCAGCTAGCAACCTCAGCAAAGATGAGCGTTTTGAATTATATAAATTAAAAAAGAGGAATGATATTGTAGTTCTCTCAGCTGTCAAAGGCAATGCTACTGTCATCATGGATAAAATAGAATACAACAACAAAATTAAAGAATTACTCGACGATGGTAGTTATACAAAAATAAAAAGAGATCCCACCAACAGCCTCGTCACACAAACCAACAAAATAATTTCTGATTCAACCGCATTAATTGATCAATCTAAACAGTTTTCGTTGAAACCTTCTGCTGCCAGGCCACCAAGATTATACGGCTTACCAAAAATACATAAAGTTGATACACCTCTTCGTCCCATAGTCTCTACTATCAGCTCCCCCACCTACAAACTAGCTCGTTTTTTGTCTGAAATCCTGCGTCCTTTCACTGGAAAAACCACCTCTGCGGTACAAAATTCTACTCACCTGGTATCAACAATCAAGGGTATTTCCCTGTCCCCAGACGACCTGCTTGTCAGTTTTGATGTAGTTTCCTTATTCACCAAGGTTCCTGTACCTGACACCATTGCAATCATTGAAGACTTGGTTCATCAAGGACTAAACACTGAGGTACCCCCCCTGGTGAGACACTGTTTAACCAATACATACTTCACTTGGAATGGAACTTTCTACAAACAAACTGAGGGCACCCCAATGGGCTCCCCCCTTTCTCCAGTTATAGCTAACATTTTCATGGAGAAATTTGAGACTGACGCCATCCAGACTGCCACTCTGCGCCCAACCTTATGGAAGAGGTACGTGGATGACACTTTTGTCATCTGGGCCACATGGCCGGCCTGCTCTAGACCAATTCTTCGACCACATCAATTCCATACACCCAGCCATCAGATTTACCATGGAAGTCGAAATAGATGGCAAGATACCTTTTTTGGATGTTCTAATTAAAAAGAGACCTGATGGTTCAATGAGCCACTCTGTCTACAGGAAAGCTACCCATGCGGATGCTTATCTGAAACCGGATTCCCACCACCATCCATCACAGAAGAATTCTCTCATCAAGACTCTGTATCATAGAGCCCAATGCATATCCGACCAGGAAGACATAAGCAGTGAACTCAAGCACGTACACCAAGCTCTTAGGGCTAATGGTTACTCCGACTATACAATCCGCAAAGCTATCACTCAAACCATGAAGAAGAACCCTCTTGAGGAGCCTTTCAAAACCATCACTTTACCCTACATTGCTGGGATCACAAAAAAGATCTCCAAAATCTTGAATAAACACAAGATCCAGGTCCGTTTCAACACATTACATAAAATCCGTGATCTGGTTCCGTCTGTAAAAAGATGTGATTCCGGACATACAATACCCTGGTGTCTACAAACTAAGTTGCCTCTGTGGTAGTAGTTACATTGGAGAAACCAAACGCCATATCTCGGACCGCATTCGTGAACATAAAGCAGACCTTAAACACGGTAGGACCAACACCTCGGCCGTAGCAGATCATTGTTCTAATTCAGTAGGCTCACATGCCATTGACTTTTCCAAGACGGAGGTTCTTTGTAAGCCATCTGGCTTCCATGAGAGATTCGTTCATGAGGCTATCCACATATACAAGCACAGAGACAATTTCAACCGAGAAGATGGATTCTATCTTAGCAATCATTGGAAAGATTTGATAAATCATTTCAGTTCTTGATTGATTGTTCACGCTTACAGTGGCTTTCAGACAGCATACATAAAAACAAATTTCGTCTCCCCCCTCCTCTTTTCAAAAAATAGATGGACTAGTCCTGGGCAAACTGCCAATCGTTGCGCGTGACGCAAACGTTATTTTTTTATATATATAAATAAATATGCCGTTTTCAAAATAAATTTATGCAAACCGACACACCTGATGATGACCGTTTGAGTTATGGTCGAAACGTCGTGAGAATTTTTTATTGTTTTATATATATTTTGTTATTTTGTTGTTTCTCTTCAACGTGACTTTACCGAAAAAACTAAGAATATATATAATACTATTTTCTTCTTTCGCTAAACTCACGTAGATAGAAAATTACGTGTTTGTGTGTGTGTAAGTCGCTGTGTGTGTGTACATCGATATGTGTGTGTGTGTAAGTCGATGTGGGTGTGTGTCTTTTTCGCCCGGGCAATGCCGGGTACTTTCCGCTAGTATGTATATATGTGTATACAACAGGGCGTGGCTCTTCTAGCCTGGCACAAGCGTTGTGGTTACATTACCGCCACTGGGTGGCAAATGGCAGTTGTTGTATGTGCATGTATCTGTATGTAAATGTGTCTGCAGTATGTACGGAAATGTGTGATAGTTTGTTTTGATGACACACCTAGCTCGGCCATATGCCACCATTGGAGTTGCTGCAATGCTTTCTCTCAAGTGCTCAGCATTCCAAGCTAGGCAGAATGATCACACAACCAAAACTCGTGCCTGCTCACGACAATTGTACAGATCAAATCGGTCAGCAAAAACGAATGTTTCGTGAAAAGGAAAATCACTGAACGTGTTCCTTGCCATATACTCTAAGTGCGGTGTCTTCCGTCAACAAAGCTGCCTCCTGTAACTTCTGCAGTCCACATTGATCCATTCTCATTCTCGCATGCCTCTCGTTGCTGCATTTACAATCAGACATCGGAGCAATTACTTCACTTACACAATACACCTTATTCTCATTCTCGTTTATTAAAAAAATATGCAATGCCCTTTTAATAATTTTGTTCCCCATATTTTAGTCAAATGATTGCAAATCCAGTGATTATTTGTGACCTGAACTCTAACGCGAACCACTCCGGATCATTCTCTGCTTATAACTCAAATCTATACATTGCTTGTGGAGACGTAACCATCATCATCATCATCTCTAATGATTGATAAAAACATTTTTTACTAGTTTGCTAAAGGTTGGGAGATGTTAACTTCCTCACCTGGTATACAGGAATTTGTGGGTTATACCCCAACCCTGATGCCTGCTTTATATTCAGAGTTTGCGTGTTTCTCTCCCCGTGGTGGCATGGATTTTTCTCCGGGTCCGCCAGTTTTTAGAAACATACGTTTTGATTATTTGGCTGCTATTTATTACCACGTGATAAACCACTACGTTGTGGCCAGGTCGCTTCTGAAAAAGAGCTATACAGCTCTGCGAGCCTTAATTGGTAAAATAAAACATAGTTTAGTTTTAAATAGATTTCACGGGTTAAATGTATGCCCCCTTGTGTTGGTCGATAGTAGGGTGAGACATTGTCCTGTGCGTGTGGTGGTAACAGGGCTAATGAGGAGATCAGTCAGGTGCGGAACAAAGCCAAGGCGGAGACCGCGGCGCTGCAGGCCTCTCTGCGCAAGGAGCAGATGAAGGTGGACTCCTTGGAGCGCTCTCTGGAGCAGAAGGTATCAAGCCAGCCGTTGTAATTACCATACGACCCCGTATCACTTTCCATTTGCCTCCATCTCTTCACATGTGTGCTTATCAAGTCTCCATGCCTCTGTGTTTTCTATGTGCGTGCATTTGTCTGCGTGCTTCTTCTGTCTGTTTAAATTGCGTTGTTTTGGTTTCTCTCTCGCATCTGCATTTGTCATTTTCTTTCGTTTAAACATATTGTGAGTTTGCTGATCTTGTCTTGCACATGTGCGTGCCTCGACAACTGTTGTAACAATCAGATGTTTGCTTTTGTTTATGCATCTGAAAGGAAGGTGATTAAGTATAATTTTGTCTAACTTGTGTTTTTTTTGCAGACCAAGGAGATTGAAGAATTGACCAAGATCTGTGATGAACTCATCTCCAAGATGGGGAAAAGCTGAGTTACCGGTTGACTTGAGATCTTTTCTTTTTTTCACGTGAAATTTAATTTGTATTGTCGAATAATATGGTCATGCCTCATGATCGCGCAAAGAACAACTTCTAAAGTTTCAACACGTACACAATTTGTCACACCAAAAGAACAGAAGGATACGCTTTTGAATGCCTCACTCCGTCCGTAGTGCCGGTTCGTTGCGTGTTCCTATTGTTGTGCCGCTCCCAGCCCACACGTTGCCCCCCCTCTCTCTCTTGCTGTCCCCTGGAAAGCACAGCAGCATCCACACTTTCACTTCTCGCTCCAAGCACTGCATGGTTTAAAGATCTTTGATTCTTTCAAATGATTTTCCGTGTTATGGGTTTGAATATTTGTACAAAATTTGTTTTGATTTATTCGTATCTAATAAGACTGATTCGCATGAAGATGTCTACACAGACATTAACAATGCCGTTTTAAATGGCACATGCACTAGCCAAGGTAAAGTAACAATAGCTGGTTGCCGTTTACGTTTTGTAACTAGCTTTTATACAAGATTAATTGTCGTAGATTGAATTAATACATGTTAGTTGGTATTTCATTTAGTTTAGCGTTGATTTTTTTTTGTGGAAAATGTCTGCGGTAATATTTAGCTTTTTGTGAATCTCCACTGGCATCTTTGCCTTAAGCCGGGCTGCGAGCCCTGTGGGTGGATGTGTTGGTGAAGTAGGGCGTGCCACCGTTGACACATTGTTTTACTCTGTATTACTAATGCATGCATCTCGCATCATAATAAAAAGTGTTTTGAACTTATTTTATCTGTAGGTTGCTTTTTACATTCGTTTAAATGTCTTGACCTTAAGGTATTGCATTTCTGAACCCCTCTCTTCAGTCTTTGGTAAAAGTGTAAATATGGCATTATAATAAAACATCGAATTCAATCACTGTCATGGGTGTGTGATAGTGAATACATGATATACTTGGAAAGTGTTTGTGTGTGTGTGTGGGTCAGTGGGCTTCGATGTCATTGTCTGCACAAAGCTTCCCACTGCGCAGCATCACACATCATCCCCCATGGTAACCATGGCAGCGTTTGCCAAACTCCTTCCTGTCTTCCAACAGTCGAGAATTTAATTGTTATAATTTATTTAATGCTCACAACAATAACCCGTTTTTTTTCCTCAGCAGCAGCTGGCTTGATCTGCCTGCTGTGCCGGGCTGGCAGGAGCCATGCTTTTTTGTTGTTGTTTGCTGCCTCCTAGGAGGGGAACCTCTGCTGGAGAAAACCATCTGAGGACCCAATCAAACCATCACCTTGCCATACATAGCAGGGGTTGCCAAAAAGATTTCCAAAATTTTTAACAAACACAACATCCAGGTTCGATTCAACACAGTACACAAAATCCGTGATTTGATCCCATCTGTGAAATATGTGATTCCTGACATGCAATATCCTGGTGTCTACAAACTAAGTTGTGTCTGCAGCAGCAGTTACGTTGGGGAAACGAAACGACATGTCTCGGACCGTGTTCGCGAACACAAGGCAGATTTGAAACACGGCAGAACCAATACCTCTCCCGTGACTTGCCGTGGCTGATCACTGTTTGAACGCGGTGGGCTCGCACGATATTGTCTTTTCCGAGACCAAGGTACTCTGCAAACCTTCGGGCTACCATCAAAGATTTGTCCATGAAGCCATCCAGATTTATAAACACAGACATAACTTCAACCGAGAAGATGGATACAAATTAAGCAATCATTGGAAGGACGTGATCAACTAGGTAAAGTTTTAACTGCTTTGATGTTCCCTTCCTACCTGACAATATTATTAGCCGACTCTCAAATTTCCAAGCCCTAGCTGAGCTCGGCCCTCGCCGAGCTTACATTTAACATGAGCTGCCCCGCCCATCTCTAAACCTTTATAAACAGCCTGCCTCAGCAGATTTCCCCCTCTTTTTCACCTGAAGACGATTGCTTGTGTTGCGATTGAAACGTCGTGATCTATTATTTTTTCTACCTACGTGGCATTACCAAAAGAACCAAAGAGTATGGACCCTTGGTCTAATTCATTCTGTCTCAGGTTCTACATTTATATTTGAGTCAGCTCTCGTGAGTAAAATGTTTGGCGTAAACCCTCCTCCACCCAGTACAGGTAGTTAATAAAGTCACGTGAACAAACTTGCCAATTTCTTACTGCAGCAGCACCACCGGCGTAGTTGTTGGAGGGCGATCCACACAACGCTGAACAATTGAGTGCGGGCATTTTGCTAGTAGTTACAACCAGCATAATCGGGTAGTTGCCATACTTGTGGATTGTTCTCCAACATTCAGAATCTTGTTTAGGTTGAAGGAAATCCGATGAGCTGTCGGAATCATATTTAGCTCTTTTTCACCGATGTCCAGTTTTACTTGTGGTGCTGCGGAGGCAGTCAGAAATTGGCACGTTTGTGTGCATGACGACGTTATTCACCTGCTGTGGTCGGGTGGAGGAGGCTGTACGACACATTTCACTTCATAATCAGAATCCGGTGAGCTATGAAGCTCTTTCACAGATGTCCAGTAGGGGCAGGTCTGCAAGTTACTACAACAAACACAATACACAAACGTGATAGAGAAAAGTAAAGAAAAGGCGAGCCGGTCACTAAAAATAAGTAAAATATTTAATTAGATACTGTATAAGTACATATTATACAAGTACATTCTGTACATTCCTGACGATTTTTCAACACTACATCCAAGTTTGGGCAGGGCAGTAAAACAACAGCCCCAAGGCACACTTGGACAACACACCCTCAATTTAAATGCACATTAAATCCTTACCTATCGATACATGGGTAAGGATCAAAGTTACAACTCAGGATATTTTTGAAGGAATATTTATGATGTTAAGTGAGGAAACAAGGTTAAATCTTGACTTAAAGCTTTCGTGACTGCAGGATTTCATGTAGATAGGTTCAATGAAAATAACAAAAAACTACGACGTTTCGATCGCAACACAAGCGGTCGTTTTTTTTCCCTGATGACGCACGCTTGTGTTGCGATCGAAACGTCGTAGTTTTTTGTTATTTTCTTTGAATCTATCTACGTGACTTTACCGAAAGACCCAGAGAATAGGAAACAAGGTTGTTCCAAAACGTTGGTGCTGCAAGAGCAAAGGCTTTGTCGCCTCTTCCAATTCTTATTCTAGGGATAGCTAAAGGCAATTAGACGGACGTCTTAGGTTTCTTGGGTTTGACAATGGGGTAAATTAATTAGCTAAGTATAGCGCACATTTGCCAATAAGGATTTTATGGATGAACAGAGCCCAATGTCGATTTATTCTCGCATCAGTTGATGTGAGATTGAATTTTAAGCAGATGTCACAATGATGTGTCCTCTATGATACATCCAGTGCAAATTGAAGAGCTTGCACGATCAGACCCAAACATTATGAATCATTGGTTGTGAAGGTCTACTACACGTTAATTTCTCTCTGGTGTTCTGATTGGTGTGTGTTGGCGTGGTGTTCTTACCGGTTGATGTGTTGGCGTGGTGTTCTTACCGGTTGGTGTTGTGTTGGCGTGGTGTTCTTACTGGTTGTGTTGTGTTGGCATGGTGTTCTCACTGGTTGGTATTGTGTTGGTGTGGTGTTTTTACCGGTTGTGTTGGCGTGGTGTTCTTACTGGTTGGCGTGGTGTTCTCACCGGTTGGTGTTGTGTTGTCTTGGTGTTCTCACTGGTTGGTATTGTGTTGGTGTGGTGTTTTTACCGGTTGTGTTGGCGTGGTGTTCTTACTGGTTGGCGTGGTGTTCTCACTGGTTCTTATTGTGTTAATATGGTGTTCTTACCGGTTGGTGCTGTGTTGGCGTGGTGTTCTCACTGGTTGGTGCTGTGTTGGCTTGGTGTTCTTACCGGTTGGTGTTGTGTTGGCGTGGTGTTCTTACCGGTTGGTGTTGTGTTGGCGTGGTGTTCTTACCGGTTGGTGTTGTGTTGGCGTGGTGTTCTTACTGGTTGATGTTGCATTAGCGTGGTGTTCTTACTGGTTGGTGTTGTGTTGGCGTGGTGTTCTTACCGGTTGGTGTTGTGTTGGCGTGGTGTTCTCACCGGTTGGTGTTGTGTTGGCGTGGTGTTCTCACCGGTTGGTGTTGTGTTGGCGTGGTGTTATAACTGGTTGGTGTTGTGTTGGCGTGGTGTTCTCACCGGTTGGTGTTGTGTTGGCGTGGTGTTCTCACTGGTTGGTGTTGTGTTGGCGTGGTGTTCTTACTGCTTGCTGTTGTGTTGGCGTGGTGTTCTCACCGGTTGTGTTGGCGTGGTGTTCTTACCGGTTGGTGTTGTGTTGTCGTGGTGTTCTCACCGGTTGGTGTTGTGTTGTCCTGGTGTTCTCACCGGTTGGTGTTGTGTTGGCGTGGTGTTCTTACTGCTTGCTGTTGTGTTGGCGTGGTGTTCTCACCGGTTGTGTTGGCGTGGTGTTCTCACCGGTTGGTGTTGTGTTGGCGTGGTGTTCTTACTGCTTGCTGTTGTGTTGGCGTGGTGTTCTCACCGGTTGTGTTGGCGTGGTGTTCTTACCGGTTGGTGTTGTGTTGTCGTGGTGTTCTCACCGGTTGGTGTTGTGTTGGCGTGGTGTTCTCACTGTTTCGTGTTGTGTTGGCATGGTGTTCTCACTGGTTGGTGTTGTGTTGGCGTGGTGTTCTTACTGGTTGTGTTGGTGTGGTGTTCTCACCGGTTGGTGTTGTGTTGGCGTGGTGTTCTCACTGTTTCGTGTTGTGTTGGCGTGGTGTTGTGTTAACGTGGTGTTCTTACTGGTTGGTGTTGTGTTGACGTGGTGTTCTTACTGGTTGGTGTTGTGTTGGCGTGGTGTTCTCACCGGTTGGTGTTGTGTTGGCGTGGTGTTCTCACCGGTTGGTGTTGTGTTGGCGTGGTGTTCTCACCGGTTGGTGTTGTGTTGGCGTGGTGTTCTCACTGCTTGGTGTTGTGTTGGTGTGGTGTTGTGTTGTTGTGGTGTTCTCACTAGTTGGTGTTGTTAAGCGTGGTGTTCTTACTGGTTGGTGTTGTGTTGGTGTGGTGTTCTCACCGGTTGGTGTTGTGTTGGCGTGATGTTCTCACCGGTTGGTGTTGTGTTGGCGTGGTGTTCTTACTGGTTGTGTTGGTGTGGTGTTCTCACCGGTTGGTGTTGTGTTGGCGTGGTGTTCTTACTGGTTGTGTTGGTGTGGTGTTCTCACTGGTTGGTGTTGTGTTGGCGTGGTGTTCTCACCGGTTGGTGTTGTGTTGGCCACATGGCAAATTGAAAGTTTATAGCCTAGTATATTATATCCATTATCCCCCCCCCCCCCCCCGCAGCCTCGCATTTGTGCGAGATACACGGCCTACCTGGAGGGTTGGTGGGGGAGATGCGTGATGTCAGCAGGCACACTTCGTACCGGTTCCGCATGTGGGTGACATGACAGAGACGTGATGTAATCGCTCACTTGTGTGCAAAATATATCCATTATTGCGCCCCCCCCCCCCCCCCCCGAAAAAAATACAAAAGTCTTATTTTTATACATTTTGCATTGTATAGTCTGGAAGCTACCCACATGCCCAGTTTCAAGTTTGTTGCATGTTGGGAAGTATGCCAAACATTTCGAACAGACATATATTTACAAATTTCCCTTTTATATATATAGATAGTATTCTTATTAATTTGAAGCTTTCGTGACTGCAGGAATCCATACTCTTTGGTTCTTTCGGTAAAGTCACGTAGGTATAAAATGAAATAACTTGCAACGTTTTGGGCGCAACACAAGCGTCCGTCACCAGATGGGAAAGCATGGTCTGCTGCTGAGGCAGACTTTTAAAAGGTTTGAAATGGGTGTAGCCCAAGGGTCATAAAGAAGTGGCCGGGGCTAGTGATGTTAATGTGAGAAATTAGCATGTAACTGTAAGATAGGAGAGCGTCCTCCTCAACGAGGGCACGGAAGTGGCTATGTTAATGTGAGAAATTAGCATGATGTTAATGTGAGAAACTAGCATGTAACTGTAGAAAAGGAGGAGGAGCGGCCTCCGCGGCGAGGGAGTGCAACCCAACGGGTGCAATCCAAAGGGCCTGTGAGTATGAGAGTGCAATCCAAAGGACATGTGAGCATGAGAGTGCAATGCAAACGACAAGTGGGCATGACAGATCTAAGAGAGAGGCATAGAGAGAGAGACAGAGTTGGAAATAACAGCTGACATAGGCAGGTAGGATGGAAACATCACAGTCAGTTAAGACTTTACCTGGTTAATCACGTCCTTCCAATGATTGCTCAGTTTGTACCCATTTTCTCGGTTGAAGTTGTGTCTGTGTTTATATATCTGGATGGCTTCATGAACAAATCTCTGAAGGTAGCCCGGTAGGTTTGCAGAGTACCTCCGTCTTGGAAAAAAACTATTTCGTGTGAGCCCACAGCGTTAAAACAATGATCGGCAATGGCAGAGGTATTGGTCCTACCGTGTTTCACATTAACATCACTAGCCCCGGCCACTTCTTTATGACCCTTTGGCTACACCCATTTCAAACCTTTTACAACAGTCTGCCTCAGCAACAGACCATGGCTTTCCCACCTGATGACGGACGCTTGTGTTGCGCCCGAAACGTCGTGATTTTATTTTATACCTACGTGATTTTACCGAAAGAACCAAAGAGTATAGTATTCTTATTGTCCATATGTACTGTGTACATTAATGCATCTTATGAAATGTAATTTCACCCGAAAACGCATTTGCCCCTAGTGGCAGCCTGGTTCTGGTATCAGAAGAATTTGGGTTTCTTAAACGTTGGGTATTTGGATGTTTCAGTCGTAAAAATTTACCCAGCATCCCTGTGATGGTGGAACAGCGTTTGAAAGAGCAACCACGACGCTCTCTACAGCATGGTTTGTTTTCATAGTAGATGCAAATTAAATGTAATGTGAAAAAGTCTTAATGGATAAAATGAGCATGCACGTATAATTATCTTCAAAGGACATGAAGCAGCTGACGTGAATCCAGCCCAACTGGTTTCGCCTGTGCTCGGTACGGAACAGTCGGCTGATGAAAGACTACCATGCTGCTCCTCGGCACAAAACGAGCAGCACTGGCACACAGACAAAAACCACGCCGTGTCTTGTCATGAGGGCAGCCTTTAGCGTATGCTGGATGCGTATATATTTTTTTAACGACGAAACTTCATTGACAGCATGATACGTAATGTGGTCGGTGGCTCAAGGGGCCGGCCCGTGCAGCCACGTGTGTCGCGGTGTACGAGGCGACGCTCTTCGCATGCGGTGCCGCCGCCCTGCCGTGCCGGGCCACCCATTGGGGCCGCTACCCGTGGCACTTCGCGGTGCATGGTTGGGGGCGATAACAATGCGCGTCATTGGCTGTTGATGCTCCTCCCTTGGCTCGTCTCCTGTCCCACTTGACGAGCTCCACTGAGGGCCGTCTCACAGCTGAGTGTGAGCTGGGAGCCACTGTTGGATCAGCGCCGTCTCACGGCTGAGTGTGAGCTGGGAGCCACTGTGGGATCAGCGCTGCGACAGTCGCCGAGGAACCAGGTACGGCGCTCGCTGCATTTTCCTTCGTTAACTCTCACAACGCTTGTCAACACGTAGATCGTGATGTCAGCATTCCCCACTACCTCGCTCATCCTGTTAATCTACACTAAACTTTTTTTTACACGCTTTTATTATTTAATTCGCTGTCTGTTGAATCCTCAAATCTTTTAACTCAATTTTAAGCCACTTCCCAATGCCGTATCGACAGCAAACTTGGTATACTTATGTCATACTGATGACTGCTATATTCTATCATTACAAATTAAAAGTTTATTTTAAGCAATCTTTTTTATATCTTATGTTTCCGCTTGGGTCTTATTGTCCACGGTCAACTGACGTTGGCTGTAATTCACCAAGTTCCCTTACGTTATGGCAAGCTTCGGGGCCACTTTCAGAGCTATCATTTGTGGCCCAGGTCCCTTCTGAACAAAATATGTATAGCTCAGTGGACCTTACTTGGTAAAATAGTCTATCTTCTTTGGTTCTTTCGGTAAAGTCACGTAGAATGAGAATAAAGTAATAAATTGATAAAATAAAATAACACAATAAAATTCTCACGACGTTTCGGCCACAACACAAGTGGCCTTCATCAGGTGAAGGGACGAGACTGTCTGGAGGACAGCGCTGGAGCTCCAGACAGTCTCGTCCCTTCACCTGATGAAGGCCGCTTGTGTTGTGGCCGAAACGTCGTGAGAATTTTATTGTGTTATTTTATTTTATCAATTTATTATTTTATTCTCATTCTACGTGACTTTACCGAAAGAACCAAAGAAGATGAATCCTTGCAGTCACGAAAGCTTTAAATCGAAATAAATAGTCTAGTTAGTTGGCACCGGCCGCCAGAGTTGTCTGGACGGCTTCGTGCTCCAGCTCCTCCAGCCGAGGGCGCTCCCAGCAGCCCAGGGCGGGGTTTGACGCCGGCTCGTGCGGCGACGCTCAGCATGAGGGCTGCTTGGCGAGCGCGTCGCTTGCCGGTCTCCGGACACATTCCCCAAAGACAGAGTGGAGTCTACCTGCCATGGTGTCGCGGATGTCTTTGTGAGTACTTGTGCCGTGAGATTACTTCGTGACAAAGTCGTACAACCAGACCCCGAGACTGCGGCGTCCACGACTCGCTCCCCTACAGCAGCACGGGCACGGGGTTTTTCACTTGTCTCTTAAGATGCGGTCCAGGGCGCAGCGGTGGCGAGATGTCAACTCCCTCACCTGGTATGCAGGAGGTCGAGGATTCGATCCCGACCCTGACGCCTGCTGTATATTTGAAGTTTGCATGATCTCCACGTGGTCACGTGGATTTTTCTCCGGGTCCACCGGTTTTTCCCTCTACATTTCGGATCGACATCACGCGTTTAGAGTATTTGGCTACTTATAAATGTCCACGTGGCGTTGTGGTCGATGGAGTCGAGGGAGACCTTGATGTCGATGTAGGCCACGTGGAGTCGTCTCACGAACTCACGGTGGCGCTCAGACGGAAGCCGTGACAGTGACATCGGCCTTACATTGGACCTGCTCAGATGTTGAGATGACATTTTGATGGCAGCGGTTGCGTGGTGAATAGCCTCCGAGTGTCTCTGATCTTTGGGAGATTTTGAGAACACTGGCATTCCACAGGGGTTGAATTCCCCAAGATTCACATCCTCCCACACAGCCTCGGGAAGCTGCGAGCCACATGGTGAGCGGAGAAGCTGCTGCGTGAATCGGAAGTAACTTCTCCAAAGGTCGCGGGCGACGATGATTTCTTTGCATGCGCATTCATTTCTTGTACGCCGGCAGACGTGCAGCCGCCCTACTGCAGACCGATCATGGATGTGGGCGCTTACCTGGAGCGGATCTGCTTCGTGGGCAGCACAGTCCCTAGCGCGGCCTCGCTCCGCGCCCTCCACCGTGCCCACGTGCTGTCCGTGCCGTTCGAGACACTCAGCATCCACTGTGGGGAGTCCATAACCTTGGACCTGGAGAAGATCTACCACAAGGTGACGACGGCACTGAGACCGACACAGCGCGAGAGTTTCCGGTGATGTGGGTTTCACGCAAAAGTTAGCAATCCGATGGATTTACACTGCAGCATCTGTATGGCTCTCAGTGTGTTTTCAGGAATGTACGTATGTATGTTGAACTTATTTCGCACCATACTGTATATGCAGCCGACCACGTTAATCGGAGGTGTGGGGGAAGGAAAACAAACTAAACAGAAAAAGTGGTTTAAAAAATTTTGTTTTCAATTTAAAGAAATGTGTTTGCAGTAATGTGCTAATTTGAGGACTTAATGATTTGGATTCAAGCAAAATGTAAAAAATGTTCGAGCGGAAAATTATTTGTCAGGAATCGGTGGTTATTCAGATAACATGGGTATTGTTGCTATGATATTACTCGAGCACGACAGTTCCTTGCCCATAATAATGTCGTGCCGTATATAAAACCCCACGAATATTGCAGTGTTCCCTTAGACTGTCATAAAATCCCAAGAATGTTCCTGACCGTGACTACTTCTGCCCACTTTACAGCCTTTTTGAGTTCAAGAATACACAGTAAATCAAAACCTATTCATTAATCTCACAGTAGTGGGGCAACTCGAAATCTACTGTTTATCTACACCGACACTTGCATGCATTTCATCCGCACAACTAGTTTATCTCTATTCTGTATACAAATTACACTGGACACGTTGGTAAATATTGACAAATATCACATTGATCTTATTTGTCATCTAAGGCGTTATAAACCTTAGGCGGATCTTTTGTTGTTGTTGCAACTGACCACTGGCTCACGGGCCGCGTGACAAGGCCGTTGCTTGCCCCACAGATTGTGAAGGAACGACGAGGAGGCTTCTGCTACGAGAACAACGGCCTCTTCTCCTGGCTGCTGCGGCAGTTGGGATTCCAGGTGACCCTGTGTTCAGCTCGTGTGCTGAGCCCCTTCACTCACAGGTAACGCCTACCTTGATGGCTACCTTGACGCGGGTCTCTCTCCCTCTCTCCATGCCATACACAACATGATTGATTCTGCAAACACTGACCCTCTGCCAAGGGAATGCGTAATTTCCACAATTGGACATAGGGCCAGCAATGGACGTACAAGCACTACCGACTGCTCGTTCGATCAGGGAGGCTGCTTCACTGGAAGTTACGATCGTTCAGTGTTCTTCGTCAGATTGGGACCAAGTGTACGTTGCACGCTCACTACAACTACAGTTTGCCTCATATTGGTTGTATGATACTGTTTGTGTAATACTGGATGTATCATTCTGATTATGTGATGCTGGTTGTATAATACTGGTGTTATGCTGGTTGTGTGATGCTGGTTGTGTGATGCTGGTTTTATGATGCTGGTTGTGTAATGCTGGTTGTATGATGCTGGTTGTGTGATGCTGGTTGTGTGATACTGGTTGTGTGATGCTGGTTGTGTGATGCTGGTTGTGTGATGCTGGTTGTGTGATGCTGGTTGTGTGATGCTGGTTGTGTGATGCTGGTTGTGTGATGCTGGTTGTGTGATGCTGGTTGTGTGATGCTGGTTGTATAATACTGGTTGTATAATACTGGTGTGATGCTGGTTGTGTGATGCTGGTTGTATAAAACTGGTGTGATGCTGGTTGTGTGATGCTGGTTGTATAATACTGGTGTAATGCTGGTTGTGTGATGCTGGTTGTGTGATGCTGGTGTGATGCTGGTTGTGTGATGCTGGTTGTATAATACTGGTTGTGTAATACTGGTGTGATGCTGGTTGTGTGATGCTGGTTGTGTGATGCTGGTTGTGTGATGTGGTTGTGTGATGCTGGTTGTATAATACTGGTTGTATAATACTGGTGTGATGCTGGTTGTGTGATGCTGGTTGTGTGATGCTGGCTGTGTGATGCTGGTTGTGTGATGCTGGCTGTGTGATGCTGGTTGTGTGATGCTGGTTGTGTGATGCTGGTTGTGTGATGCTGGTTGTGTGATGCTAGTTGTGTGATGCTGGTTGTGTGATGCTGGTTATATGATGCTGGTTGTGTGATGCTGGTTGTGTGATGCTGGTTGTGTGATGCTGGTGTGATACTGGTTGTGTGATGCTGGTGTGATGCTGGTTGTGTAATGCTGGTTGTGACTACCAGCGAGTCGTCTGTAGCCGAATCTTAAACGTGAGATCGCTCTCCAACTCTGGTGGTGGTACTGCTGCTGCTGAGGCAGTAATTCGATGGCACGTTGTGCAGGTGACAACTTCATGTATGGCTATGCCGGGTGGAGGAGGGTTTACGACACACATTTTACTTCTGCGGTGATCCAACCCAAAAATAAATTATGAACCACGACATGGGTGGCGACTTTGCTACATGTTACCTCACTGCTTGGGTTATAATTTGAGGTGGCAAGCCTCGTGACGTTATTAAGTCAATCGGCGGTTTGGGCCCCACATTGCTCATTGTTGCCCTGCACGCCTCCCGTTCTAAACATCGACGTGACGTGCAGAGGGAGCAGTGGTGCAGGGGTGAGCGCACTATGAACCCTGCCACCCGAGTTCAACTCCTGGCCATGGTTAACATCAGTGGCGAGTGATACTCAACTGATCCTGGGTGCCTCACTTGAAAAAATCCTGCACTGACCAGCGTGGGGACGTATGCTCGGCGTGGAGATCTTCATCCAGCAGTGGATTGACAAAGGGCTACACGTTGTGGTTGTTATGCTGTAGCTTTGCTCTGGGATAACGCCTCTCTTACAACTCTGAGAATCTCAGAGCAGTCCAAGCATGATGTCCTTTGTGCCAACAGACGCAGTCATTTCCTTTTGTTTGAATGAAATGCCTCGCCTATTGCGCTAAACTGTTTAATGTACCATACGTAGCCAACCGTGCTAATCCTAGGTGTGGGGGAAGTACAACAAACCCCTCGCCTGGTACACAGGAGATCGTGGGTTCGATCCTAATCCTGACGCCTGTATATTTGGAGTCTGCATCTCTTACTCTCTCGCCTTGATTGCGTGGATTTTTCTCCGGGTCCTCCAGTTTTTCTCTCTACATTTAGAAACATGCGTTTAGTGGATTGGACTGCGACTATAAATTTCCACGTGATAAGCCACTTTGTTAGTGGCCAGGTCGCTTCTGAATAAGAGCTAAATAGCTGAATGGGCTTTATCTGGTAAAATAAAAAATAGTTTAGCTTTAGTTTTAAAACAAAAAGCAGTTATAAAGAAATTAGTGTACGATGGTTAATCAGAGCAAAATGAATTAAAATCAAATTAAGTTGATGTTATTAATGATAGTGTAATGTTAACATCAAGTCCTGATGGTGGGAGACTGCGAGAGCCCTGGCGGGGGGCGGAACGTCGCGTCAGTAGCAAGGTGAAGGGGCAGTAGCGGTGGAAGTATTCACGGCCGTGGCCACGACAGTGTCCAGATCCTGAATGTGGCCTCACGTGCAGGTACGGGCCTCCTTTTCAACATCTCATGATCCTCGTGACACTGGGTGCAACGGACGGCCAGAAATGTCCATCGGCGCTTCCTTCAGGGGAGCGACAGCTCGAGAGGTTCGTGGTGGATGTTGGCTTTGGGAACGGCATGCGGGAGCCTTTGGAGATGGAGAGTGGACGGGAGAGCGTGCAGGAGTCTGGGACGTACCGGCTGCGCAACGACTGCCCTGCCGGCTGGTGGAGCCTGGAGGAGGCCTCGGTGGAGGAGGCCGGCGGTGATGGGATCCAATTGAAAGATGTACGCTCGCTGCACATCAACACAGTGACTCGCGCCTGCAATATTCCCAGCACATCTATACAATGACTCCACTGACCATCGCAATCCCTCAAGGTGCTGTGCTGCCACAGCTACCGTACTCCAGCACACGAACTGATCTCATCGCGCTCCCCCTCCTTCGGTTGCCATTCCGTCGCCAGCGTAATACCCCAGGTATTGTTCCCTGTAGCGGCGTGTCCCATTCAGGAGTTAGCATTCGGGTAGTGACGTATCGCTCTGCTTTGTCCATATCCCGCACCTCCGATTAGCACGGTTAGCTACGTACGGTGTGAAAGAAGTTCAACGTACATACATCTCAGCGAGTTATTGTACAACACGGTTCCTGGATTTGTAAGTGTGTGTCGTATTTTCTGGTAATTGTGGTGCTGGTAGTCAAAAAAGATTTATTTTTTCAACAGCTGGCCATTTTAGTTTTATCATGTGTAATGGGTTTTTTTTACTGTTTTGTCATTGATATATCACATTTCTCTTTTTCAATAACTCTTCCAAATGCATGATTGGCCTCCTCTCCCCAATTTAATTTAACAGCTGAGTTGTATTTTTGTACCGACCACCTCTTTACAATGATAATGAAATGGTGTGTTCGGGATCGTAACCAAGCAGAATTCGCAAACCTGTGCATGCGATCGGAACTCGGCTCTTAACTCGCTGATGGCACCAATGCCATGAGGCAGAAATCCATCTCCGGGTGAGCGACCGGCTGTGCAATCGCCGACTCGACGTGGATCCAGCCGCAGAGGGCAACATGCAGCTGACACGCACGACAAAGGCAGAATTTCAAGACGGCGCAGTCGATCAATGTTCAGAGTGTAGATGCTTACATGGTTTCTCTTGTTTAAAGATAACCCTCGTTGTGTTTGTTAATTGCAGGTAGAACTACAGCCACCTCGTGTGGAGGAAGACGAACGTTGGACGGTGCTTTACAAGTTCACAACAACCGCACGTGGATTTCTGGAATTCTCAGATATGTGCCAGTACAACCAGACGTCACCGAGCTCCATGCCTGCGTCTAAATCTCTGTGCACCCTTCACACGCCTCAAGGTCGGGTCACCTACATGGGCCAACGTCTCACCAGCACCACCGTCAAGCCGGCGCGGGACCATCGAGTCTGCAGGAAGAGCAAAGCCGTCCGTGAGCTTTCCGATGAAGAGATCCCCATCGTGTTGAGGGACGTCTTTGGAGTCGTTCTCAAAAATACATTGGTGCCAAAAGATCGTGCCATTGTACCTGAAGAGTGCGATCAGTTTTAATGTTTTAGAATTGTAACACGGGAAGGCCAACGTGCACCTGGTGTTACTGTGCATCATTCATGCATGCACGCGCGCACGCGCGCAAACACACAAAGACACTATAAGTGAGCACCCACCAAGGCATCCATAAGCACACGTTCTATGGAGCATGGCGAGACCAGCATGGTCTATATACGGAGTGGTGGGGCTGGTTGTTGGGGTGCCACGGTAGCGCGATGTTAACTATCTCGCCTGGTATGCAGGAGGTGGTCGGTTCGATCCCCACCCTGATGCCTGCTGTGTATTTGAAGTTTGCATGTTCTCCCCGTGGTCACGTGGATTTTTCTCAGGATCCTCCGGTTTTAAAGATGCATTTAGAGTCATTTGCTGGTATAAATTTCCACACATAAGCCATTTAATTGAGCTATCGGTTGTGGCCAGATCGCTTCTGAAAAGAGCTATATAGCTGAGTGGGCCTTACCTGGTAAAAGTTTAGTTTAACTTATAATATAAGTCCTATGAGGATACGTTCCCAACCTTCGTAAATTACCATCTCATACTATAAACACTTATTAAACTACAGTGCATATTGTAAAAAAAGACAATTTATATTTAAAATTGTAAAAATAGCACGGCGTGTGCTAGGGGCACGGGGTGGGCTGCGGGGCCGGCTGCAGCGCACGTGGAGTTTAGGTGCAAGCGGTGAGAACGCCGGGAGACGGTGGGGCCCACCGTTCAGTCTCCAGCACCAGCGAGGGGGTTCACTCAGCTCGTCACCACCCCATCTGCTGTTAACACAACAGGCAGTGGTACTGTCAGCATGGGGATCCACAGTGGGATTCACGCGGGGAGGAACCAACGTGGAGTGATTCCGTCATTCGTCTTCCTAATTTGGCGAACACGCAACACTCATGCACACGTGGCTGTCAGATCTACGGTAGGCTGATGAATTTGCTCCAGTCACGGGCAGTGATTTGTCGATGCAATGACAGTGGTTCAGTGACAACATCGGCTTCCCGAGAGGCAACCCCTCTTCGGAAATAAATCATCACTCACCGACTCATCGTTGGTTCGAATAGCGTGCTCGGCTCTCAGTGACGAGGATCTATCACAGAGGGACAGAAGCTGACATAGGGGGAACAAATCGGATTTGAAGGTGGGGAACATTCACAATCGGATTGGTCGTCAGGGAAAACTGTCTGGAAATGAGGGGGTCGGTTGGAAGAACGTTACAGGGGGAAATTACTGGGATTGGTGGAGATTCCTGGAGAATTAGGCAAAGGATGGGGAAGATGATGCATGGGGGGACAGAAGGGGGTTTGTTGCACCTGGACGGAGCGATTCCCTGTTGTGTGACACGCTGCGGTGTGGAAGACGGAATGAAGACGAAGTTCAACACTCGCCCGGCCGGAGCTCCCTTCCTCGCGTAGCTCGGGCTGTTCTGTACCGCTGTCGTGCTTTGCTGCAATTCTACTTAAAATAAAGATCACTTCAACCTCGCCCAGCTGCAGCTCTCTCAGCAAGAGCCTTTTAACCATTGCAACCTCGCAATCCTGAATGCTCACGATGCATGTGCTGCCAGTTCCAGCGCAAGGCGTCGTGAAATGGAGCAGCGCTATGGACTGGACCAGGAGCGGTCGTCATTCTGTGTCTCTGGAGCCGCGTGCGGCTCTTTAAGGAACTGCTTGGTGACGTCGTGTCTGAAGGAGGACCACCACCGTCTCGTATTCACCACGAGCATTGTGGTTCTTGAAATGTTGCGCTTGCTATCGAAGTCTAAAAATATATATGCCTTGTTAGTGTGGTTTGCTGACCCCTTGGACGAGAAGCGCCACGTTGTGTACACTCCTAGCTCGCACGAATGGAGGTTTGCTTCGGGAGGAGAGCGAATCCGTCCGAGAGGGGAAGTCCAAGCACATGAAGCGATTAAATTAGCACAATGAGGTGGCTGTTGCTTGGGGAGGCCTTCATCCAGCAGTAGATTGACCCTGGCTGATGATGATAAGGTCCACTGTAAGCATATACATTTTGCCCAAACAGTTGAATATTATTGCTTATTTGTACGTTGAAGAGGTCGTTTTCTGACCAGAGTTGGTGATAAAACAAAGGCAGCGATGTTCAAGGTGTAGAGGTGATAGCTACTCACTGTTCAGTAACCTGCATTGTCACTAGGTATCAAAGGGGCAGTGCAGCGTTACCTCTCTGTGTGAATAACGGTTGGGGTTAGACGAGGTGAAGTGGACCGTAGTCACAGTTTGGTAAGAACCAATCAGACAGTTCCACGTGGGAGTGTGGGATTGGTTAGACCTGGCCACAAACGGGTATAAGAAGGGTGAGCGCGGAGATCGCGTGGAGTTCTCTCCCCACACGAAGACCGAAGCCTGGGCTGAAGATAGCCAGGACCCTGGACCCAGCCTTCCAGCCCTTCTGAGGGCTAAGGCTCGGCGTATCCAGTGGTCAAGACCCACCGGGCCAGCGGTGGGTCAGATAGCCTCCCCTAGGTCCCAGCCAGAGGACTCTAGGATAGCGGTAGACTCCAGAGTAAGTCCGGCCAAGACAGGAGGCTGTACCTCCTTCGGTTAGCAAAGAGACCTGTGTGTAGGTCCCGCTAAGTCCGGAGGCTGTACCTTCTTAGGGTGTCGGGTGAGGGGACCATATACCCATTTGTGTGTTAGGGACCATGTCAGAGGAGAAAGACAATAAACAGTGTGCCTCATACGAAGTTTATTCGTCATTATACAACACTACAAAGGTACTCGTGCAGTGGGAGCGTGGTGCCGTGATGGCACCATGCTCCCACCGTGGGTGCTGATTGTTTCAGATGGACAGCGATATACCTCAATATACAGAGTTTCAGTTTAACGAAGCATTCATTACCATCATATTAATTGTAAAAACAATGATAATTAAATTAACAAATACACTGAAATTAATCAATAAAACTGCCCGTCTACAGTACGATCTAAATAATAAAGTATGAGTCCAGAGGACGCCTTTTAAGACAAGAAAGCTGTCTGGTGTGGACCGATCCGTTTCAAAGACGATGCATCGCAGGTGACCACGGCATGTGTTTGCATGCTAACCACAAGTACTGTGTGCATGTTCACCACCACGTGTGGTCAATGCAGACATGATTCCTTGCAAAAGGTTTCTGTTTGGTATTTTAACATCATAACACATATTCTTGGTTCTTTCGGAAGAACCAAGAATATGAATCCCTGCAGTCACGAAAGCTTTAAATCAAAATCTTAACACTTGTTTTTTTTGCCAGAAAACGTAAAACCTATTATATTTTATTTGGTTTCTTGTTTACTTTCGTCTCGGGCAATGAGGACACAACAACGCACGACGCGACGGAGCCATGCCGTTTGGTTGGCAATGCAACCTGACGACTGCATCGGAGACAACACTTGCGAGTGTGGAGTATCTCACAGTAATATACACTGTTTATTAGATTGGTCGGGTTTCTTTATTCTATACCGTATAACATATATTGTTTTCAATATAGATTGTCTTTGTTTACTATTTTAATTGTAAGTTAGGAAGTTGAGGTGGTTCGGGCACCTGGTGAGGATGCCCCCCGGTAGACTCCCCCTGGAACTCGACCGGGCAGCGGCCACGGCAGCGGCAGCGGCCACGGCAGCGCCGCGTCCCTCCGGGCGAAGACCCCGGGGGGGGGGGGGGGGGCGGTGGGACGATGTCGCTCGGCTGGCCTGGGAATGCCCGGGAATTCCCCTGGAAGAGCTAGAGTCTGTGTATAGTGTAGTAGTGTATAATTCTAGATTTGAAGCTTTCGTGACTGCAAGGATCCATACTCTTTGGTTTTATTCGGTAAAGTCACGGAGGTAAAAAATAAAACGTTTCGGCCACAACACAAGTGGCCTTCATCAGGTGAAGGAACCGGACTGTCCAGAGGACAGCGTTGGAGTGGACACAGCCAAGCCCAGGTCGCGTCCTTTCAGCTGTGTGGGAGGAAACAGCGCCTTGACAAAGGAATTAGCATAAAAATGAGCATGATGTACGTAGGGGGGACATGTTGGACCGGCGAGGGGGGAGGTGTTTACATAATGTTGGTGTGAAGGGAAAATACGCAGCTATGAAAGCTTGGGATACCACTACTTGAAAAAATATACTGTACCATTGAAAATTAGTTTAATGTTTGGTTTGATTTAGAACATCTTTCCAGTGATTGCTTAATTTGAAACCATCCTCTCGGTTAAAATTGTGTCTGTGTTTGTAAATCTGAATTGCCTCGTGGACAAATATCTGATAAAAACCGGTAGGTTTGCAGAGAACCTTGGTATCGGAGAAAACTATGTCGTGATCACCCACAGCGTTGTAACAGTGATCAGCTATGGCAGAATTCGTTCTGCCGTGTTTCAAATCCGATTTGTGCTCGCGAATTCAGTCAGAGAGATGTTGTTTCGTCTCCCCGATATAGCAGTCACCACAGGTGCAGCTCAATTTGTTAACCCCGGGGTACTGTAAGTCAGGAATGACATCCTTTATGGATGGGATCAGGTCACGGATTTTGTGTACTGTATTGAACCGGACCAGGATCTTGTGTTTGTTTAGAATTTTGGAGATCTTTTTAGTAACGCCTGCTATATATGGTAGTGTGATGGTTTTGATCGGAGTATCAAGTGGTTGTTTCTGCATGGAGGGAGAAACAGCTTTGCGGATGGTACGGTCAGAGTATCCGTTCCTCTTGAGGGCCAGATGTACATGTTTTAATTCACTGGCCAGGTGGTGTTGGTCCGAAATGCAATGAGCCCTGTGGTATAGCGTTTTGATGAGATAATTCTTTTGAGTTGGGTGGTGGTGGGAATCAGGTTTCAAGTAGGAATCCGTGTGGGTGGGTTTCCTGTAGACAGAATGTCCCAATGAGCCATCAGGTCTCCTCTCAAACAGAACATCCAAGAATGGCAGCTTGCCATCTTTCTCCACTTCCATGGTGAATTTGATGGCGGGGTGTCTGGAATTGATGTGGTCTAGGAAAAGGTTCAAAGCTGGGAGGCCATGTGGCCAAATGACGAAAGTGTCGTCTACATATCTCTTCCACAGGGAAGGTCTGAGGGTGGAAGTCTGGATGGCGTCTGATTCAAATTTCTCCATGAAAACATTAGCTATCACTGGTGACAAGGGGGTACCCTCATTTTGTTTGTAGAAGGTGCCATTCCAAGTAAAGTAGGTATTGGTGAGGCAGTGCCTAACCAGCACAGGTGTATCGGGGTCTAGTCCATGTTGGACCAAATTTTCAATTATTTCAATGGTATCAGGTACTGGGACCTTGGTGAACAGAGAGACCACATCGAAGCTGACAAGGATATCGTCAGGGGACAGTACAACGTCTTTGACCATAGAGACCAATTGGGCTGAGTTAAGCACTGCTGAGGTGGTCTTGCCAGTGAAAGGCAGCAAGGTATTTGACAGAAAACGGGCTAGCCTGTAGGTAGGGGAGTTGATTGTGGATACGATGGGTCGTAGTGGGGTGCCTTCATGAATCTTGGGAAGACCATATAATCTAGGGGGTCTTGCAGCAGAAGGTTTTAGGGAGGGACGTTTAGTTGGTTCGATTAGGGAGGTCGAACTTGTGATGATCTTGTTGGTTTTATCGTTAGGCTATTAGTAGGGTCATTTTTTTTGAGTAACTTTCATCGTTGAGCAGGTTCTGGATTTTGTTGTTGTATGAATCTTTATCCATAATTACAGTAGCGTTGCCATTGTCGGCTGAGAGGATGACTATCATTTCTGTTTTTTTAAATTCGCAAGTTCAGAGCGTTCATTTTTTCTGATATTGCTAATGGGTTTCTTAGCATTCTTAAGAATAGTGGCATTTCAGCTCTCGCAACGTCTGCTTGGATGTGTCCTACGCCTTTGAGGGCTACATCGACCTGAGAGATGATATCATCTACTGGTATATGTTTTGGGGTGACAGCAAAATTTAGCCCTCTAGCCAGTACTGTTTTCAGATTGTCCGAAATCGGGATGCTACTCTGATTAATGACGATTTTGTTAACGTCTAGTTCTACATATAACAAGTGGAGAAGTGGAGAAAGATGGCAAGCTGCCATTCTTGGATGTTCTGTTTGAGAGGAGACCTGATGGCTCATTGGGACATTCTGTCTACAGGAAACCCACCCACACGGATTCCTACTTGAAACCTAATTCCCACCACCACCCAACTCAAAAGAATTCTCTCATCAAAACGTTATACCACAGGGCTCATTGCATTTTGGACCAACACCACCTAGCCAGTGAATTAAAACATGTGCATCTGGCGCTCAAGAGGAACGGATACTCTGACCATACCATCCGCCAAGCTGTTTCTCCCTCCATACAGAAACAACCACTTGATACTCCGATCAAAACCATCACACTACCATATATAGCAGGCGTTACTAAAAAGATCTCCAAAATTCTAAACAAAAACAAGATCCTGGTCCGGTTCAATACAGTACACAAAATCCGTGACCTGATCCCATCCGTAAAAGATGTCATTCCTGACTTACAGTACCCCGGGGTTTACAAATTGAGCTGCACCTGTGGTGACTGCTATATCGGGGAGATGAAACGACGTATCTCTGACCGAATTCGCGAGCACAAATCGGATTTGAAACATGGCAGAACGAATTCTTCTGCCGTAGCTGATCACTGTTACAACACTGTGGGTGATCACGATATAGTTTTCTCCGATACCAAGGTTCTCTGAAAACCCACCGGTTTTTATCAGAGATTTGTCCACGAGGCAATTCAGATTTATCAAACACAGACACAATTTCAACCGAGACGATGGTTTCAAATTAAGCAACCACTGGAAAGATGTTCTAAATCAAACCAAACATTAAACTAATTTTCAATGGTACAGTATATTTTTTCAAGTAGTGGTATCCCAAACTTTCATAGCTGCTTATTTTCCCTTCACACCAACATTATGTAAACTCCCCCCCCCCCTCGCCGATCCAACATGTCCCCCCTCATTTTTATGCTAATTCCTTTGTCAAGGCGCTTTGTTTCCTCCCACACAGCTTAAAAGACGCGATCTGGGCTTGGCTGTGTTCACTCCAACGCTGTCCTCTGGACAGTCCGGTCCCTTCACCTGATGAAGGCCACTTGTGTTGTGGCCGAAACGTCGTGATTTTTGTTGTTTTATTTTTTACCTACGTGACTTTACCGAATAAAACCAAAGAGTATAGTAGTGTATAGTGTAGTAGTGCTAGAGTCCGTCGCCAGGGAAAGGGAGTTCTGGACCGCCCTACTCAACACGCTGCCTCTGCGATCCTCACCAGGACATACACATTGAGAAACGAACGAATGAAGTTTCCATATACAAACGAAGCTCCAGGAACGCATCTCCTTCGTATATCGAGGTATTACTCTATACAGATGACACCCGAGCCAACGTCATCATTACCATTGTGTCTCATGGACCCCGAAGATGCGGCGTGAACGCGACAGCGCTCAGAGGCACTGCGCCTGGCACGGGGTTGAGAGAGGCCAGGGCTGCTGGGGGAGATATCAGGTGGTTGGTCTTATTGTATTACTGAACTGTACCGGTGACCGCTTCAACAGACCGGGACAGCCCGCTTACCGGTTTCCCGTAATTAAAGCACTATCCAGTGCATGAAATACATCCGTCCAGTTAACTGAGAAACGAAGGCAGCCTGCGATCCACAAGTCGCCGGTTGGATTCCAGACCACCCAGCATCATGAACGGGTTCACCAAGGTCGATCGGCAGGTCGCGTGCGGTGGGGTAAAGGGTGAGTTCGTCTTCAAATGTGTTTGGTCAGCGTGGAACAACACGGACCTTCAAAATAATGAACGCCTCCTCATTCGAGACCCAAAACATTGCAAACCTCCAGGCTTTGACTTTCCACTCCAAAGACACCACTGGTGTAGCCATCATCTCACTCACCCACCCGCTCACCACAGGTGTAGCCATCAACTCACTCACCTACCCGCTCACCACTGGTGTAGCCAACAACTCACTCACCCACCGCTCACCACTGGTGTAGCCATCAACTCACTCACCCACCCGCTCACCACAGGTGTAAGCATCAACTCACCCACCCACCCGCTCACCACTGGTGTAGGCATCAACTCACCCACCCACTCGCTCACCACTGGTGTAGCCATCAACTCACTCACCTACCCGCTCACCACTGGTGTAGCCATCAACTCACTCACCCACCCGCTCACCACTGGTGTAGCCATCAACTCACTCACCCACCCGCTCACCACTGGTGTAGGCATCAACTCACCCAACCACCCGCTCACCACTGGTGTAGCCATCAACTCACTCACCCACCCGCTCACCACTGGTGTAGCCATCAACTCACCCACCCATCCGCTCACCACTGGTGTAGCCATCAACTCACTCACCCACCCGCTCACCACTGGTGTAGCCATCCCGAGCCCGGGACAGGGACGGGCCCGGGACGGGGACGGGCCCGGGACGGGCCGGGGACGGGCCCGGGACGGGGACGCGGGGGGCGTTGCCCGCGAGCGCCTCCAGTGGCGAACCTGGCGAGTGCCACTGAGGAGGGGGGTGGGGAGGGGGGTGGGGGTGAGGGGGGTGGGGGTGAGGGGGGTGGGGGTGAGGGGGGTGGCCGCGTCGGCGCTCTGGCAGTGACCGCCGCCATCGATGCGGCGATCGTGGGAGGGGTCCCAGGCGCCGCAGGTTCAGCCGCAGGTGAAGGTCGCCTGCACCTTCAGCACGGCCACGGGCTCACGCGCTCGCGGCCAGCAACAAACAGTGCGAGGGAAGAAGCGGATCGAGCAGTGAGGGAGTGAGTGTGTGGGTGGGTGAACGGGGGAGCGGTGTTCGATTGCTGCTCAAGATCAACACCAGTGACGAATATCTGAACCGGTCCTGGATCTTCCCTGGGTCGATTGAGCCTCAAATGAGTACCTGGTGCGGTGTGTAAACATCGCCTCTAGGGAGACAAAGGCGGCCGGGCGTGGTGCTGGACACCCACCCCCTCGTGTGCCGTTCCGGTCTTCGTAGGTGCTCGCTAACAGCACTTGCCCCTACAGTCTGTTAAGGCTACACGGGAGATCTTTATCTTTGATGGTTTAGGCTCGTGAAGGACGCTGCTGCTACTGGACAGTTGGAGGCAGTCGCCCTCCAGCAACAGTGGAGGCCAGAGGAGCGACGCTCACAACAACGAGCGGAGCGCCGAGCGGCTAAAACGGAGGCGAGTTGGCAGAGTAGGGTTCATAGGTGATGCATCTGTCAGTCATCTCAGTCGCTGAGTGGGTGAATGACTGAGTGACCGAGTGGGTGGGTGAGTGTCCTTGTGACTTGAAGTGTGGTTGTGCAACTATGAATGGGACGACACCTTTTCTAGATTGAGCCCTTAGCCTGGGTGAAGTTCACGGGAACAGAAACCACGGCAGTGGCGTGACAGGGAGGTGAGCGAGTGGCCGCAGGGACATCGGTGAGACTGGACACTCAGCATCCTGCTGAGAGAGTGTTCAGCAATCAATCCCTCGATGCGTTTGCTTACTGCAATACGAAGTCAATTGTGACAATTTTGATGACCTTAGAAGGGCTGTTTCTATGGCTTACTAACAGCTCGTGTGTCTCTATGGCTTACTAACAGCTCGTGCGTCTCTATGGCTTTACTAACAGCTCGTGTGTCTCTATGGCTTACTAACAGCCCGTGTGTCTCTATGGCTTACTAACAGCTCGTGTGTCTCTATGGCTGACTAACAGCTCGTGTGTCTCTATGGCTTACTAACAGCTCGTGTGTTTCTATGGCTTACTAACAGCTCGTGTGTCTATGCCTTACTAACAGCCGGTGTGTATATGGCTTAGTAACAGCTCGTGTGTTTATTTGGCTTACTAACAGCTCGTGCGTCTCTATGGCTTACTAACAGCCGGTGTGTCTATGGCTTAGTAATAGCTCGTGTGTCTCTATGGCTTACTAACAGCTCGTGTGTCTCTATGGCTTACTAACAGCTCGTGTGTTTCTACGGCTTACTAACAGCCGGTGTGTCTGTGGCTTACTAACAGCCCGTGTGTTTCTATGGCTTACTAACAGCGAGTGTGCCTCTATAGCTTACTGACAGCCCGTGTGTCTCTATGGCTTACTAACAGCTCGTGTGTATCTATGGCTTACTAACAGCTCGTGTGTCTCTATGGCTTACTAACAGCTCGTTTATCTATAGCTTACTGACAGCTCGTGTGTCTCTATGGCTTACTAACAGCTCGTGTGTCTCTGTGGCTTACTAACAGCACGCGTCTCTCTATGGCTTACTAACGGCTCGTGTGTCTCTATGGCTTACTAACAACTCGTGTGTTTCTATGGCTTACTAACAGCTCGCGTGTTTCTATGGCTTACTAACAGCTCGCGTGTTTCTATGGCTTACTAACAGCTCGTGTGTTTTTATGGCTTACTAACAGCTCGTGTGTTTCTATGGCTTACTAACAGCTCGTGTGTTTCTATGGCTTACTAACAGCTCGTGTGTGTCTATGGCTTACTAACAGCTCGCGTGTCTCTATGACTTACTGTTTGGCACCGTCAAACAGGCCAACCCATAGCCGTTGGGTGGTAAAGGTCATTTCTGCAAACGTGTTGCCGACTCTCGTGCCCGCGATAACAGAAAATGGCTCCAACCGTTACACCCGAGCCCTGTGTTTGAGGTTGCTTATTGATGATTATTGTTATTACACTTGTTTGCCCAGGAAAGCCTCACTGAACCTCGTGACTCCTTGTCCTGCCACGACTATACAATGTAAAGTGTTTCTTACGTAGTGGGTGGTGGAAAGTGTGTGTGGTGAACAATTTCGCCTGGGGAAGAACCCGAGGTGGCGGTGCCCCTGTGTGTGACGAGGGAAGTGGAGGCTCTCACCCTCCTCCAACCTCGGGACGCGTCTCGAGCTTTTGCTTGGATGCCCAACGTTCCGGATTCGATCCGCTGCTGTGAATCTGTGGTACAACACAGGCCGACGGTACCGAGGTTGTTCCCACCGCCCATGTGCGGGCGGCAGCACCTGCGATCTCGTACTCCCCCACCACCGGTGGCGGACGCCCGCGCGCCTGTCCGTACGACGCGCACCGAGCTTGTTGACGCGCGGCTAGGTTCGACAATGCGCATTGTCATCATCATCAATTCATGAGCGCTTGGACCGACTCCCCCTCCATTGGCTGCCAGTTCCGAGAAACGTCGCCCCTCCACACACCCGGTGGGAGGCTGGGACTGGCACCCCACCAGAGAAGAGCCGTGCCCACCCAAATCCACCGCTGTGCGTCGCTCTCTTTAGCCGGGCCTGCTGCCCGCCTGCCACCACGGGACCCGCCACCTCCGTGGCTCCACGCGCCACGCCTGGACGAGCGGCTCTCATCATCGGCACGTCCACGAACCGATTCCTTGTGGATGAGCCGACGATCCGCCCGCCTGGGTTTGATCTTAGGCGCCTGATTGGGCCCAGCTCACCAGCCAAGGCCTCCTCTGTGCAGCGGAGCCTGCACCGGTGGGGCTTATGCGATGACCAGATACTGTAGCCACGGTGTCAGATGGACGGCGACGCATGTCACTGAAGATTGTGTCCACTAAGCAAGCCAAGCGACCGAGCGGCATCGCCACATTCTGCAAATGATGAATCCGCTGCCTGACTCGGCGCAAACGCCCCACGCTAAACACGCAAATCGCCCCCTCTTCCGCGTTACACGCTGTGTGCTGTCATTGTTTTGCTCTTTTTTTTAAATACTTGCTTTGACAATTTGTCTCTTGTTTTAAATGAAACTTGTAATATCGATATCCAGGTCCAGTGGCAGACTGGGACTAAACATCGGCACAGACATTATTTTATAAACATACCGGCCCAAATTCGAGAAATGGGCAATTACTTTTTCATTTCATTTTTTTAATGGGTTGTGTGACGAACTGTATACAAGTAGCTAGATCTACCATGTGAGGTGCAGCGTTAACGTGATTTTGCCGTGCGATCCTCATTGGCCTATTTGGGCTGGGTCCAAAAAACAAATGGGGGGGGGGGGGGTGAGGAAGAATCTTTGGGGCTCCCAAATATGGGGACTTAATGCCAACGGAGAGCGTAAATAAACAATTAAGCATGCGTACACATTGGAGATAAAAAATATTTCACATCACATTTGAAATTTTCCCACACAGCTCAGCCCACCGGCCGTCGGAATGGACCGGCCCACCAAGCACTTTGTCCTACGGACTGCTCTGAGGCCAGTCCGGGCCTATCCAGGTCCACATTACACTGAATATTAGGGATTTGTAATCCATGGGCTGCTACAATTTAAACACATGGTCTGGTGGTGATAATACAGTAGTGTTGTCGAACGTTTCAGTTCTATATGTGAGCGGTCGCGTTGCTCCGGGCGGTCATGGATGTTGGCGCTTACCTGGAGCGGATCCGCTTCGTGGGCAGCACAGCCCCCAGCGCGGCCTCGCTCCGCGCCCTCCACCGTGCCCACGTGCTGTCCGTGCCGTTCGAGAGCCTCAGCATCCACTGTGGGGAGCCCATAACCTTGGACCTGGAGAAGATCTACCGCAAGGTGACGACGGCACGTCGCGTGCGCTGGACGTTAACCGCATCACGAACGGCAATCGGGGAGATCGTGACCTGACCCGTAGCCCCGAGCTCCCTTCCTGCCGCCTTGTGTGGTTTCCAACATGAGGACAGTGGCTAAGGTGAAAACTCCGCCATACGTTACAAAAAAAACTCCGGGACAAATGCGTTTCTCATTTGTCTCGGCCGTTGAATTTTACACAAAAAATTCCGTGTTAACGTGGTTCTGCAAAATTCATATGCGGCACATTGCAGTCATATCTTGATATGTATTCCATGGATCCCTCTTTATAAGTTGCTTTCCATTTCAGGTGTTAAAACGTTGATATAGGTAAATGTCAATAAAGATGTGGAAGTACACGGGTAGTGTGACAAGGCCGTTGCTTGCCCGACAGCTTGTGAAGAAACGACGAGGAGGCTTCTGCTACGAGAACAACGGCCTCTTCTCCTGGCTGCTGCGGCAGTTGGGATTCCAGGTGACCCTGTGTTCAGCTCGTGTGCTGAGCCCCTTCACTCACAGGTGAGGACCCTGCCACTAGGCTCTCTTTCTATCTCACTGCTAGGGAATGTCATGGGAACAATAGGGGCCTGCCTCCTAGCCACGATAAATTGCCAGTGGACACTGTCCATTATTCTGTTCCCAGCAAACAATGTGTGTAGATATAATAATGGATCTGTAATTATTTAAGTAATATCACTCTTGTGTCTATCGAGCAATGATTACATCATAATTCCATGATTGAGGTACGTCACCTGTGAGTAAACATTTGCTCACTAATTTTATTCTAATAATTGGTCTCATTTCTTTGATGATGTTCCCAGTTATACCACCTCGTTCAGGACCTTTCCCTTTTGTTTATACTCTGAAGGGCAGTGTTTTCTTCTTCAGGTGTAACGTCTGGAATTTCCTGTTCATGTTAAATTCCTGGGTATTTTAGATCTGCATTAACGCTCTCCACTAACTTTGAGATGCTATCTGTCATACCTGTCATGGTAATCTCTCTCCCCAAGAGCCTCATTTCTAATCAACCTTTTTTATGATTTTATGCTCCCGTTTCTTGCTAAAATTTGTGTAACAAAAAATCTAGTTCGTGAGGTAACTATATATTTATGAATGCTGAGCAACACATTTAAAATGCCTCGGGTAGCAAAATGATGAAATCAACGTATAGTCGGTACACCGGTGCAGCGTGACATAAAACGGTGTCATATCAAAATTTGAGCTGACATTCGACGAGAACTGACTTTCACGTACCTCGCAAGATTTTCTGACCAGGGTTGCAAATCGCGTAAAATAAATAATTATTGCGAAAATGTTGTTTTAGTCTTTTTTTACCGCGCATCCGTGTGCCGTCAATCCGTACAAATGTTCATATAGCCTCTGTAGCGCCCTCTCGTGGAGACCCTTCCAAGTAGTCGCGGCGTGAGCAGGACACTGCAGGGCACACCTCTTACCTGTTAACTGAGGCTCGAGGGCAAATGACTCACGCGGTGACTCGGGCTGCCGCCGACCAACCAGTCGCTCAAGGCGTGCAGTTTGATGATTCCTCGGGTATCGATTAACAATTCATGACTTGCGGAATCGGTAATTAATCTTGAAAACAGTTACCACTTTATTGGTAATTGAACCTTATGGCCAGACCCCGGGGTCCCATAATGTAAACATATATATTATATATAATGTAAACATATTATATGTAAACATTTACTTTGCTCTTTTTCACCAATCGGTTTGGAGGATGGTGGCAAGTGTTGTCTTGTTAAACTATTCCTTTAAAACTGAAAACTACTTACCTGCAGTACCTCTATTTAAATACACTATATTAAAAAATTGTACACCCCTCTGTCAATCATCGTGTTTCTCAGTGTGTATTTGTGAACACACTTTGTAAACAGTACATCAAATAGTACGCGTTTTCAATGCGCTGTTCATATTGTACCAAGCGTTTATACAAATGTTACTCTACAGAGTAGTGGGTCGCCACTCCTCTTATCCGCATTGATACGAGCGGTATGTGGGGACTATGGCTTAACCACAAAAAAACCTATCTGCACAGATGCATACGGACAAGCGAAGTATTATCAAACAGGAGGAATTACCAGTGCAACGCATCTCATCTGTTAAATATCTGCAGGTAATAGGATTGTCATCGATTACTCCTGGCTGCAGACATTGGTAGGTCACAAATAATAATGAAAATAAGAGAGCAGATTCACTGTATTATGCATACCGTTTAGGCAGTTTGAGCAGCTTTGGATAAGGGTTATGACCCTGCCCATTCCCGAGCATGGAGTGCATTCGCTTGTTCAGCTTTTCTGCCCATTCGTCCTCACTGCGCTTGGACGACATGACAACAGAATGGTCCGTGCCAGGTGGGTCGTGGCATTTATGTGCGTGGTGGGATGGAGTTGCCAAAATAAATAAATGAATTACGATTTTGACTTCCGTTTATTCGGAACCCCGGGGTCCCGCCATAAGGTTCAATTGTAGAACAGCGACAAAGCTGATGTCATTAAACTTCGTTTGGTGAGGCATTGTTTTTGTTAATTCTTCTCGTGATTGCCTACAATTTGAATTAATTCCTACGTAACTGTAATCGTGTTTTAATTCTGAATACCTTTGGCAATTTCTATACTGATCTACTATTGTGCAATGTGAACAGGTATGGCCCACCGTTTGATCACCTAATTATCCTCGTGACACTGGGTGCAACGGATGGCCAGGAGAAGCGTCCATCGGCTCTTCCGTCGGGGGAGCGACAGCTCGAGAGGTTCGTGGTGGATGTTGGCTTTGGGAACGGCATGCGGGAGCCTCTGGAGATGGAGAGTGGGCGGGAGAGCGAGCAGGAGTCGGGGACGTACCGGCTGCGCAGCGACCACCCTGCCGGCTGGTGGAACCTGGAGGAGGCCACAATGGAGGAGGCCGGCAGTGACGGGATGGACCGACTCGTACGCCAGCGCAGCCCTAAACACCAGTGCCAGCTCCACATTGAATTGTCACCTTTATCAATATCAACTCCAAACAGATGTACAACCCGTGCCCAGTAAATAAGTTTCAATGTCAGTGATACAAGATGAATTGTTAACACCGTTAATAGACACATGTGTATGCCTTCATTGCTGAAAAATCACTCCGACATCTGCTGTTTCCTCAGCAGAATGTACATAGCTCCCCCACACCTTATGCCTGATATTATTAATGTTAAAAATCTTTAACCATTTTATAATTATTTTTATGTTTTTCTTCATTTTCATTTATAAAAAAAATGGCTTTTAATGCACTGAAATTACAGCATCACGTCGATACAACGAACCACTGGCAGATGTGAACGAAAGTCCCCTCTATCCGGGCGTTCACGAGAACAGGCCTTGTGACAAATTCGAACACGAGAGCATGAACATATCGCCACAGGCGTGTGAAGTTGTGTGCATCTTGTCTCGTCAAATACAACGTTAAAACGTCACGTGCTTGTGTAACAGTATTCACAATAGAGTACTCTGTACTGTACTCTGTACTGCTTTGTCCACTGCATGTTGTTGATATCATGAGCCATATTTTATCTACGACTGGTTGAAGGCATCACAAGTGGTATCCAATGCTGTTTATATATATGTTTTACTGTCATGAAAGAACCCAGAATACAAAGTAGATTTCAAAAATAGGGAAAAAAACGCGGATAACGTGTCACAAGTATACACTGCTATTAATGATCTTGTTCGTGGTCTTAATTAACATAAGGCAGATCTGAAACACGGTAGGACCAATACCTCAGCCATGGCTGATCATTGTTTTAATGCGGTGGGCTCACGCGAAATTTATTTCTCCAAGATGAAGGCACTCTGCAAACCCACTGGCTGTCAACAAAGATTTGTTGCCGAAGCCATCCAGATATATAGACACAGACAATTTCAACCGAGAGGATGGGTACAAACTGAGCAATCATTTGAAGGACGTTATGAACCACTTTAAGTCATAACTGTCTGTAATGTTTCCATCCTACCTTCCGATGTTAGCAGTTATTTTCGACTCTCTGATTTTACATTAACAGGTTCACACTAACACAGGCGCCGTTGCTCGTGGCCTCGATTTGGCGGCGGCTCTGCGATCATACATCATGCTAATCTCTGACAATACAATGGCCACCTCCGCAGCTTCGTCGTCGTGGAGGTTGCTCTCCTATCTTACATTGGCATACAAATGTCTCACTTTAACATCACTAGCCCCGCCCACTTCGTTTATGACCCTTGGGCTACACCCATTTAAAATCTTTAAAACAGCCTGCCTCAGCAGCTTTCCCCCTCTTTTTTCTCCTGATGACGATTGCTTGTGTTGCGATTGAAACGTCGTTATATTTTTATTATTTTTTATTCACTTTATTTTCACTTTTTTATATTTTTTTTCTATCTACGTGACTTTACCAAAAGACCCAAAGAATATAGAGATAAACCTATTTGCAGATTAAGTAAAATTTTACGTTCATTTTGGAGAATTGTGTTTTTACAACTGAATACTTACTCCTTTTTGCCAGATATCCTTTGTAAAGCAATCAATCAATCTTCCCACTCATTTTGCAATGGAGAGCAGCACAGGGCTGACTGCATTTTAAATCGGACTCTCGTACTCTGGAGCCACAGAACCTCCCCATGACCCCAACGCCTCCATACTTAAACTGGCCAGAAATGGATTACCAAAATAAATTATTGAACAGTAATATTGAAACTCCGTCACGTTTTCTGGATTAAAGGTTCTTAACTTCACCTCCGATTAGCACGGTTGGCTACATATGGTGCGCAATAAATTTACCATATATGAACGCAATTTGTTCCACCCATATTTCCCCATCACCAAGAGTGAGTACCTCATTTTACACAGCTATCTCTGAATGCAAGTTATTGGGCAACTCAAGTGTTTTTATTTTTGGGAGATGACAATTCAGTACTTTATAGATGCAAAAAACTGCTTGAAATTTTTCATTTATAATAGTTCATTGGTTTACATAACTTGTCCCGTTTTAAATTAATAACGAGTTTTATTCCATTTTCATGTCGACCACAGGTGGATAATCAGCCATCTGATATGGAGGACCATCAGGGCTGGAGAGTGCTTTACAAGTTCGAAGCAAAGCCACGGGAATTTCTGGATTTCTCAGACATGTGCCAGTACCACCAGACCTCTCTGTGCTCTGTGTTTGTATGTAAATCTCTGTGCGCCCTTCACACACCTCAAGGTTGGGTCACCTACATGGGCCGACATCTCACCAGCACCACCGTCACTCCGGCGCGGGACCATCGAGTCCGCAGGAAGAGTAAAGCCGTCCGTGAGCTTTCCGATGAAGAGATCCCCATCGTGTTGAGGGACCTCTTTGGAGTCGTTCTCCAAAATCCTTTGGTGCCAAAAGATGAGGCAATAATCCCTCCAGACTGTGATCAGATTTAACCCTTGGAATTCATTAAATATAGACGTTTATTTGTTCCAGCTCTGCAGTCAATCAATATATATTTTATTAAACACGTTTGAACAGTCACAACGAAGGGCACGCTATATGCCAGTACGGTTGGCAGGTTTGGAAATTGCGCCCCTCTGGTTTGGCTTCATTCCCTAACTGGAACTTGTTTGGGTACACACAGTTAATGTTCGGGTACAAACGGTCCATTCTCTAATCAAGTCAGGGAATGGGGGCGGGTGAAGGTGGGGGTATGAAAAAAATAATGAGCAATAAAAGAAGAAAGGAACAAGGTGCATCAATGCTTTGAATGTTTCAAATAATAGAATAATACATTTTACTTATTTAGTGCTCTTCTTGCATGTGAAAGAAGACTGGCCCTTTCACGGGTCCACACCTTTGTTCTCACTCTCTCCCGCAACCCCCCAAACTCCGCCTTCTGCTCCCTCTTTTAACCTCTTCCTGGCTATGCCCCTCGTCGCACTCCTCCACCAATCTTACCCGAACCTGGCCTAACCATGCCAACTGATGCTCATCCAACCTGCCAGCTCTTTTCCCTTTTGAACGTTCCGGCCAATCGCCTTGGCTCCCCATGCCCTAACCAATCAGAGCGTGCAGTCTTTGCTCCACCCTTCTTGATTACTCTCGTCCCAGGGATCGTGTGGGACAAACACTTCACATGGAATAAGCATAAACACCTCGCAAATACAGTTTCTAAAAATAATAAAAGGAGGGAAAGAGCATGAAAATAAAATTAGATGAAAGCCTTCTTTAATAGTAACGTTTAAGTGGAGTCATAAAAATCTCAATTGAGGCCAAATCCCCTGATGTCTTTTGGCAAAGCGTTCCAGAGTCGAGGGGCTACGTCGGCCACAGCCCGATCCCCCATAGAGAGGAGCCTCAACCTGGGAGTGAAGAGGAGCTCCAGGTTCTCACATCGAGATCTCGATGGAGCATCAGGGGGCAAAGCAATTCATGGCGGTAGTATGGTGCTAAATTATTTCGGCCCCTCCTTCCGGTGGTGTCATCACCCCTCTTCTCTCTCGGTGCTTTCCTCTTGAGGTCTTAATCATCAGATCACCCACCATTTGCATAATGCCTCATCAACTTCTTCAAGGCCGGAGAGCATGATGTGAGACCATCTCTCCGTCACCCCACTGACTGCCATCTGCCGGCTCACAACACAGATGGGGAGTGCTCGCCCTGACCATTCCACAACATTGTCTTCTCAGCAGTCCAACGCCTTGAGAGCGATGGTTATGCAGAGTTGTCTGCCTCTTATGATAAGACACAGACGAGATGGTGGACGTATTAATAACATACAATACATCTGAAAGGTTTCGTGACTGCAGGAATTCATACTCTTTGAGTCTTTCGGTAAAGTCACGTAGAAGAAAAATACAAAAAAATCACGTTTCGATCGCAACACGAGCAATCGTCTTCAGGTGAAAAAATATACAGCGAGAGAGCTGTTGAAGCAGGGTGTTATATAGGCCTGAGATGGGTAAGTGGGCGGGACGAGAGATGCTATTTGCATGTCAATGTAAGATCGGAGGGCATCCTGAAGCTGTGGGGGTGGCCATTGTATCGTGAAAAAACGAGAGCCTCCGCCACATCGAGGGAAAGGAGCATCGGTGACTGCGAGTAAGACAATACAGCACAGCCTGTCAATGCAACTCAGAGTCAGAAATAACTGCGAACATCGGCAGGTGAGAGACACCACGTGAGAGGAGGAAATCCCTCTGTATCTGGCATGAGCATCCCGGGGAGAGACACCACGTGAGAGGAGGAAATACCTCTGTGTCTGGCATGAACATCCCGGTGAGAGAGACCACGTGAGAGGAGGAAATACCTCTGTGTCTGGCATGAGCATCCCGGTGAGAGAGACCACGTGAGAGGAGGAAATCCCTCTGTGTCTGGCATGAGCATCCCGATAAGAGACACCACGTGAGAGGAGGAAATCCCTCTGTGTCTGGCATGAGCATCCCGGTGAGAGACACCACGTGAGAGGAGGAAATCCCTCTGTGTCTGGCATGAACATCCCGGTGAGAGACACCACGTGAGAGGAGGAAATCCCTCTGTGTCTGGCATTAACATCCCGGTGAGAGACACCACGTGAGCAGAGGAAATCCCTCTGTGTCTGGCATGAACTTCCCGGTGAGAAAACCCACGTGAGCAGAGGAAATACCTCGGTGTCTGGCATGACCATCCCGGCTATTACCGCGCGCCCGTTTGAACCGGAAGTGGAGTGGCGCGGGGCGCTCGAAGAGCGGCGCGAGGCGCCTGGGCGCGAGACGGCGGCGGTGGCACGCGAGGTGAGTGGGGAGCGGTGAGCGGAGGGTGAGGGGGGCGAGGGGCGGTGAGCGGTGGGCGAGGTGAGCGCGGAGCGAGGTGAGCGTCGGGGGCGGCGGTCCTCACTCTCAGTTTCGCACGCCTGATACAGTATTGCACTTTTATACCAATAGCTCTAATAGTGGAACACTCCATCACCCCGCTCACACCATCACATCACGAACACCATCACCCCGCTCACACCATCACATTGCAAGAGTCCCGTCCCCGCGTGGCTCTTACATAAGAGCAGCAGCAGCTGTCGTTGCTGCTGGCGGTACCACGAGGATGCCTCTGCGGTGAGGAGGGGCACTGATTCAGAAATCCCGAGTGGAGTCCCCTCGCGTTGAGTCGGTGGTGGGCAGCGGGTCACGCTGGGAGGTCAAGGTCAGCAGATCTGCGCTTCCATCGCCTCGCATCGGTCCTGCAGCTGTTGCACGGTCGACGCGTGACCTGCAGGCTTCGTTATCACATTCTCCTCGTCCCCATCGTCTGGCTCGAGGTCGTCTCACCGCGGTGGCGAGGAGATGTTAACTACCTCGCCACGTGTGCAGGAGGTCGTAGGTTCAATCCCGACCCTGACGATGCCTGCTGCTGCTGTATATTTGGAGTTTGCGTGTTCCTCTCCCCGTGGTCGCGTGGAGTTTTTAAAGGGAACTCTGTTTTTTTCTCTCCACGTGTAGAAACATGCGTTCAAAGTATATGGCTGCTATAAATAACCATATGATAAGCGACTTCGTTGAGATATTATTTGTGGTCAGTCGCTTCTGAAAAAATTCTATATAGCTCAGTGGGCCTTACCAAGTATGTCTTATGAAGCCATCCAGATATATAAACACAGACGCATCTTCAACCGAGAGGATGGGTACAAACTGAACAATCATTGGAAGGACATTATTAACCAGGTAAAGTCATAACTGACTGTGATGTTTCCATCCTACCTGCTTATGTCAGCTGTTATTTCCGACTCTGATATACATCACCAGGTTAAATGTCTTTACATTAACGGGCTAAGTGTCTCACTAACACAGCTACCATTGCCCCTTTCCCTCGATGTGGCGGGATCTCTCGGTTTTTAACAGACTATATCTGTCTTTGATGTTTCTGTGCATGTGTCTCTCTGTTTGTCTCTCTCTGTGTGTGACTCTCTGTGTGTGTCTCTCTGTGTGTGTCTCTCTGTGTGTGTCTGTCTGTGTTGTGTCTATGTGTGTGTCTCTCTGGGAGTATGTCTCTCTATGTCTTTCTGTATGTGTCTCTATGTGCTTGTGTCTCTCTCTCTGTGGTTGTCTCGCTGTTTGTGTCTCTGTGTGTCTCTCTCTTTATGTGTCTATATGTGTGTGGTCTCTGTGTGTGTGTCTCTGTGTGGGGGTTGTCTCCCTGTGTATGTCTCTCTCTGTGTGTCTCTCTGGGTGTATGTCTCTCTCTCTGTGTCTCTCTGTTTGTGTGTGTGTCTCTCTGTGTGTGTGTGTCTCTCTCTCTGTGGGGGTTGTTTGTCTGTGTGTCTCTTCCTCTCTCTCTCTCTCTGTGTCTCTCTGTGTTGTGTCTCTGTGTGTGTCTCTGGGTATATGTCTCTCTCTCTGTGTCTCTGTGTGTGTCTCTCTCTCTCTGTGTGTCTCTCTCTCTGTTGGGGTTGTCTGTCTGTGTGTCTCTTCCTCTCTCTCTCTCTCTGTGTCTCTCTGTGTTGTGTCTCTATGTGTGTCTCCGTATGTGTCTCTGTGTGGGTCTCTCTCTCTATGTGTGTCTCTCTCTGTCTCTCTCTGTGTCTCTCTAGGTTGTCTCTCTCTCTGTCTCTCTGTGTGTATGTCTCTCTCTATGTGCGTGTGTCTCTTTATGCGTGTCTCTCTGTGGTTGTCTCTCTGTGTGTCTTTGTGTGTGGATGTCTCTCTGTTTGTGGGTTGTCCCTCTGTGTGTGTCTCCCTGTGTGTGTCGACACTTGATGTGGCCTCAAGGTGCACATAGCCTGGCACAAGCGTAGTTGTGACCTCACCGCCACTTAGTGGCGAATGGCGGTTGTTGTTGTCTCTTTATGTCTCTCTCTCTGTGTGTCTCTCCATGTGTATCTCTCTCGTTGACATGCTGGTCTCGCCTCGTACTTGCTCTTGCGGGTTTTTTGTTCTTGTTGACCGGTTCTCTGACATTGACATGCCAATCTTCTCATTGGCACAGCCCCTGGTTGCTGGAGCCGTCTCACATTGACATGCTAATCTCTTACATTTACATGCAAATTCCATCTCTAGCTCCGCCTACTTACCCTTGGGTTGAGCTCACCTAAAGCCTATATAACCTCTTGTTGCAGCAGCTCTTTCTCCTGCGTCAGCAGTTCTCCTGCTGTGTTTGTCTCACCTGATGACGGTTGCTTGTGTTGCAATCGATACGTCGTGATCTATTAATTTTCTATCTACGTGACTTTACCAAAAGAACCAAATAATATGGATTCCTGCAGTCACGAAAGCTTCAAATCAAGATTGAATTACAAAAGTTTAGTTTAAGAGAAACCAGCTCAGACAAATTTCTGGAACAAATGCATTTGCGCTGGTTGCTTGGCCGTGCCTTTACATGCATTTAACATACATACATAAGCACTGCAAAAAGCAGCAGAGCGCTGGATGAAGGCTCCAAAGATGTGCAGCGCTCAAATGCAGCGCAGTTTGCAGGGTGCAGAGCGTGGTGCAGTGGGATGTGAACAAATGCGCAGAACGACTGTGGACAGTGTGTAGGCAGCTGTTGGAGGTGCGTGCTGATCTAGTCCACGCTTCTCTCTGTGGGAGACTGGCTTCACCTCAATGAGTGCCCGGTGCTGTGGGCTGAATTCCTCAACTCGGATGTATAGCTGTGTATACAGTATGTGTTGTAGAGCACGTGCAACATGTCAGGGGGGTTGGTATGTTTGGTATTTCAACCGAGTAGAATTGTTGACAGCCTCAGCTCCGTTCTATTTCATATTTATTAGATTGTTGTTTTAAATGTTAGTTGTTGACAAAGGTGATGTGCAATAGCTTGATGATTATTAGTTCTGTACTTAACTGGGGAACCTAACATCTATAATATTATGCAGCACACTTGTTTCAAGATAAGTTGGCCACCTTGTGTCATCGACGATTAATTTGACAATCGGAGTGATATCCACTTCTGGCTGATTCATGCTACCCACGACCGTACGACCGTGGGTGGCATGAGTCAACACCTAACTTCTGGGGACCCACCTCCGGGTGCCACCTGGCTGTGGATGAACATGAATAGTCGGAGTAATTGTGTCCTGTACCATTATCGACATCATTACATCATCATAACATACATATTACTTTCAACATCACCAACATCACCATCGTCATCAACATCATCACCAAAATTATATTAATCACTGTCGGCTCCCCACATCCATCTCACTCCTACACGCGAGCAGTTTTCATCGTTCCATCTCACCGGTGGTCGTCCTCGCTGCTTTTCTTCATCGCACCCCGTGCAGTGCACAAGCTAGAGGCGTATCGACAATTGAGAATCGGTTTGGACAGGGCAGTCCATTGAAGAAGTTGATGGCCAGTGGGCGAGACTTAATGACAGAGTGGTAGGCAAAGGATTGAACATGCCGGAGAGGACGTCGGGCACAGAGAGAGAGGGAGCGATTAAATCAGCCCCGTTGCAGGCGCTAAATGGATTTGCTGCATCGCAAGACGTCGAGAGTTTATGATGGCTTGAGGGGAGGCCTTTATCCAGCAGTGGATTGATCTTGGCTCATATGATGAATCTGGCCACGGATAACAGGAGTCATAGGTATAAGGAGCTCCATTTTGTCTTGTTTGTGGCTTTCTAAAAAGGCAGTGCCGAAACGGTCATGGATACTCATTGGGGCTAAATGTAGTGGCCGGTCTCTGTCAGAATGTAAAGAGAGACCAGGACGACTCGCATGATAATGTTTTACAACACATCTTAGCCATAGCTACGAGTGTTGTTTGGCTTCTGTCCTTGGAGGTCTCAGATCCTCTCCACGTTTTCGTTGAATTTGGGGGGGGGGGGGGTGCGACGAAGGGGCCCTGAAGGTACTGTCTCTCACAGCCAACATTTACATTATTTTCCAGACCACACGCTTTTCCGGTTGTTGGGGATGGTTGTCAAATATCGAGATTTTCAATATGGTTTAACATCTTTCAGTAGTGCTATATCCAAATGCATTTTTGGCAGATTAGGGCGATGATGAAAGTAAAATCATTACACTTTAAAAAACTATATACAGTATACTGTTGCTCTGTTTACTGCCACATAACGCTAGCTTTGGATGAGGCTATTAAACACATGCATGCAGTGCGCATATAGGGTGGCGTGATGTTGATGTCATGCACAATGGCTTACAGGCACTTTGACACTTGGGTTGAAATCATAAACACATTAACTATGTCTCTCCGTCTGAGGCAGGGGCTCACAATTCATCATAAAGACAAATCTTAAGTACAAAATTGGTATTATAAAGTGTTATAATTAATGACTTAATGACAGTGAGGGAATGAACTGTGTTTTAGCTGATGACTGCACGTGTAACGCTGCCTCAAGTGTGTTGTTGTTTACGTTTAATAAGTTACGTGGAGAAAGATGACATCACAAGTGATGTCACCTCATTAAGTGGGATGTAATCTCATTTATTTTGAAATTATAAATTAACGTATTAATTTTAACCATGAACGCAGCTGACATCTAGATCCTGCAGGGTGAGTCCTGTCTCATATCACTCATCATCAGCCATGGTCTATCTCCTGCCTGGATGAAGACTAATGCGATGTCTCTGATTTGTTAACCCGAAATGTGTTTCCCTTTCTCAGCGTAATTCCAAATCTGCAACTGTCCTTGCTTTTATCTTCTTCATCATGGTCTGTCTATTGATACATTATATAAACAATTAGGACAACTTTGTAATTTAATATCAATTTAAACGCATTGCATCTAGATGTTAAATGATCTTGAGTCATAACGTTACTCAAATTAGACTATGAATTATTCTTACAGTACTGCTTTTGTACTGATGATGGGGTTATGGCCCATGTCTGCTTTGTTCTAAACGTGCCTCTGCTTTAGTTTTGTATACATTTCACCCACCCTTGTGCTCAAATGCGCCAAGCTGGGCTAATTCGCTTCGCCAAGGGCAGTAGGGTGGCGTTGCAGTGGTAACGCGCATTCATGCCTCACACGAAGAAGGACCTGGGTTTGATTTTCGACTTGGGCGCCTCTCTGTGTGGCATTTGTACGCTCTCTCCCTGTTGTGGATGGGTTTCCTCCCATATATATAAAAATAAGCTATGTAACTGGTATTTTACAAATTCTTAAATTTACCTGTACATGACTCAATTGGGATTACAAAGCAACATCATCCCTGATTACTAAAATTTGGCAGGAGTGCTCTGTGGATTACTCCATGGATCAGAAAGAGTCTGAGACTGGGGTTTTCCTGGGTAAACACACCAAGCTATATTGATGACCACAAACAAGAGTGAAACCAAAACACAACTCTTGACTGTTATCTTTCAGCTGCAAATACATGGTCATCATTCGTGGTGGCAAATACTATCTTGAGTATACAAAGCTGCTTGTTGAAACCTATGAAATATATACCTTTGGAATCCTACAATCCCATGTGAACCTTTTATTTGTACTTCGTGACATAAATCGGCCCTCCCCCATCCTGCACTCTCAGCGTAACTATTTTTTTGCCTCATATCTCCAACACTCGCTGGCTGTGTTCGCTTCCGGACTTCTGCATTCCTTATCCTGCCCTACCACAACATTCCTAGCATCCGTCTCAGACACTACCTGAGCTCAAATATCCAATAACTTTCATCTAGAACTGCTCAGGGTTCCAGCTCTCTGATCCATATGGGAACACGGATGTCACTCGTGCCTTACATGCCCTTCTCTTTACACGCAGACTCATCTCCCTTCTCTTACACAGTGGTTTCTGTAGCCCAGCACAAACCTGCCCTGCTGATGCAATGCGCCTCTTGATCTTGTCTTAGCTCCCTACATTATGGAGAACACTGCCTAAGTACACAAAGTCCCTCACCTTCTCTCCACTTACCAGGGCTTGTGATCCTACGAGAGGAGCTCCGTTTCTACATTTGTCTGAAAGGGAAAGCCTGCATCTTCAGACCCCAGTGTCTAACCCAGGAGTCGGCAACCTGTGGCTCCGGAGTGGCATGCAGCTCTTCAAGGACTGCTTCGTGACATTATTTATTAAGGACCACCATCTCCTATTCACATGCATTGCAGCTCTTGTTCTTTTGCTTGTCGCCCTCTGGTCTAGCCTCATTGCCGTAAGACTGCCAACAACTGTATTGACTCCAGCCAAAGTCATAGGCAAGTGTGTTAGGTATTGCGTGTAAACGCAATCAAACCTTCACAATGATGCATGCCATTATTTGCAGTGTGCCGGACACCCCCCTTAATTTGAAAGGCTCTTCTCACAATTCAGCGCCAAACACTGTAAGTAGTGCAGTGCCACTGCACTACAGCGTTGCTCTGATACCGAACATCTGCTTCGCAAGAATACGACGGCGGGGACAATGAGGCCCTCCTCGTCCTCACCGTCGTCATGTGTGTGGGAGATGTGGCCCCTGCACCTGGAGAACTTGGTCCTCCACCCACCCGGCAAAAGGGAAACAAGCACCAAGCTCAGGCACCTGCTTGCAGCGCCTGATTGCAGATATATTTTAAGTTTAGAGTTGCTGTGGTTATTTTTGCTGAAGCGATTGCGAAATGATGCTAATCTCCCGTTTACATTCCTTGGGTGCATACTGGCTTAAGTTCCACATTCATATGACAGAGTAAGTTTGTCCATAGGACAACCACGATTGACTTCCTACAAAGTGTTACTAATTGTGTCAACTCGTGATAATTGATGGTTGAGTTGACCACCTACCAGAACTTACATTTCATTACTTCCCAACTGAGTGTGTACGCCTGAGCGAGGTTTTGAATTCGCCCACTCGCACGGTCACTGGCTGTCGTGGGCATTGCAAGCACCGTGGGCCTGCTTTTAAAACGATGCGTTACGGTTTGGCTGTACTCCAAGTGGACGTTAAATAGCATTATGTTCACTGGGAAAAATATGACCTTTTAGCCGACAACCCTCGAAGGGCAGCGTTTTCCGTTAGAATGTAAAGGCGCGTGCCACCACAGCCACACAAATGCGCCCTGGGCTCCTATAAGGCAGAAGTGCTCAAGGGTAACCACCTGCAGAGCTGCGACGCACCCGTACTCTTGTACCTTCGCTACTTGTGTGCAGATGAACAAGCCGGTGTTTTGACAGCATGGGCTAGTGTTGCCATGCTTGAGGGTAGTAACTGTCTCTGTATCATTGGAATATTGAGGAAGTTGCTGCCATGCGTGTCTGCATTGTCTAAACAGCAGAATATGAGTCGGTCTGCTTTATCTCCATCCCTTCTGTTCCACGGAGTTTGTGGCAGAAGTCTGGGCGGATTGAGTATGAAACCCAAGCAACCGTCATTGCACTCTGTTTCTTTCTGCAAACCACCACAGGTGCAACGGTGCATTACGTGTGCATTTATGCTGTATGTACAGTGAGGGAAAAGTATTTGATCCCCTGCTGATTTTGTACGTTTGCCCATTAACAAAGAAATGATCAGTCTATAATTTTAATTGTAGGTTTATTTGAACAGTGAGAGACAGAATAACAACAACAAAATCCAGAAAAACGCATGTCAAAAATGTTATAAATTGTTTTGCATTTTAATGAGGGAAATAAGTATTTGACCCCCTCTCAATCAGAAAGATTTCTGGCTCCCAGGTGTCTTTTATGCAGGTAACGAGCTGAGATTAGGAGCACACTCTTAAAGGGAGTGTTCAAATAAACCTACCATTAAAATTATAGACTAATCATGTCTTTGTCAGTGGGCAAACGTACAAAATCAGCAGGGGATCAAATACTTTTTTCCCTCACTGTAGTACGCTGTGACTGTCCCTTGATTAGACTTGGAGTAAAACTGAAGGTTACTTTTTGAAATGCCAGGATTTTTGTCTTGATGTTGCGTTATCAGACCCATGTTGATTTTGCCCTTGTTGCCTTGATGTCTGCTCTTTACAATAATGTGGTTATCGAAAACTGGAAGAGAGATATGAATACAGCGATAGGAGAAAGGGGGGGGGGGGGGCTGCTCCTCCTCCGCCTCACCTCCCCACAATCTCTGTACTCCAAAGCCTCTCATGTTTTGAGATGAGACTGAGCTGCCCTGTGTGTGCGTGGGCATTCTACCTACGTACGAACTTCCATACCGAGTCACTGTGCGCTGTTGACCAGTGGCACCAAGAGCACCGTGATCATCAAGCCCCCTCCCAGGTTCTGTTCGCTCAGCAGCCGCATGGCTCTGAACAAATAGATAGAGCCGTGGCTTCGTGTAGGGCACGTGAGAGCAAGTACACGCGACTCCATTAAGTGGCACGTGTACACCGATATTTACGGAGCTCTTTTAGCAAAGAAGCACAACGCACACCTGTTTTCACAATTCCGATGCAGAACGAAATAACCGGAGTGTAAAAGCCCTTGTGCGAATACTGAAACTTGTTCACGAAAAAAATGTTACCACAAGTGGAGCAACAAACCAGTACAACTGCCTTATCGGAAATCACGAACGCCCGGCTTATCACTGCAGCACACGTGTGGGGACCATGGTGAGGTTGTGAGCCGTGACGTCACAGCTCGCGCACAGGACAGGGGGAGAGAGAGGGGGGAACCGCTGCTTGGCTATCGGCGGCGGCCACAGCGGCCACGTAAGCCGCACGCTCGCTCTCTCCGCGGACGTCTCCCAGCTGCGGTTCTCCACCGGTGCAGTTTCTTCGCAAGAAGACAATTCAGACATTTCAGTGGGGTTTTGTTCCTTTGAACAATATAGTTCCGTGGCTTAATAGATGTTTAAAAGTGAATACATTGCGGCCATTGAAGGTGAGCGGTGTGCACAAGCATCACGGTGAGCGTGGGTTGGGTTTGGTTTTACCAAACGTCACTTATTGCTGCTTTGAGTAACAGCATCGTCATCATCTGTGTGTTCATCATCTGTGTGTTCATCATCTATGTGTTCATCATCTATGTGTTCATCATCTATGTGTTCATCATCTATGTGTTCTGCCAATTATTACACGTGGGGAAACGTTCGTACATTTGAACAGCAGCTGTCTATCGGAGCAAGTGTGAAGCTAAATCTCCGTAATGTAACACACATTCTCTTTTAAAGGGCTATTAAAAGAGAATGTGTACAGAGTTTGTATTGTTTTGTCTGATTCTCATAATTTTAGTAAATGTAAAATAATGTCCGTTCGTTGCCATTTTACTCAAGACTCGAAAAATGTAACCTTGGTGTGCTTCCCATGACTGGTGGACTGCAGTTATTTACGTTTATTAGCCATATTACTTCCAATTGCGCACACATATTGTGAATACCTTCTTCGGACATTAATGTCCAGATATAATCAGTCAATTTTTGTAAAAGATGTGCAGGCCATGTTGAGGCATATTTAAAGCAATGGCTAGGTTTGAGGTCCGGGGTAAGGTGTCGTTTTGTTCGTGCTCTGTGAGTGTGCCAAGTGCATCACCACCATGTCTCTACGAAGCACAATGACGCTGTCCATGAGGACGTGCACTTTCCTCATCGTATCACCACCGCTCCTCCCATTTGGACGCTTATGAGCAAAGGATCATCCGTAGCACCAAACAGATCTGCAGCATACATTATTTATTTAGTTAAATCTTCTGTATTATTAAAAAATTGTAGACATTTGACAACTGCCGGTGCGTGGGCGGATCACTCCCTCATGGCAGTCATATCATCCATCTCGCCACACCCCCTGCCGAGCGTTGGTGGTGCGCTCCAGGCAGGCTAATCTTGTACGTCCAAACCAACTCCTCCCTTCTCTTGAGATCTCATCGCATTTATGTACGTTGAACTTCTTTCGAACCGTACATAGCCAACCATGCCAATCAGAGGTGTGGGTGGAGTCAGTCTCTGGGCAAGCTGCAAGTGACAGTGTCGCTTTAAGGCCTCTGTGGTGAGGGCACATATTAGAAAGTGGGAAGCCTTGATGATACAGCACCTATGCCTTCTCCCCCAGCGCTGCCTAAGATGCTCAGTAAAATGGGGCCAGAGCTATCAGAGTGAGCTTATACGACCGACTCCTATGATGAGAGGAGTGCTCCACTCCTTAGAGAGAGAGAGGAGGGACAGTTATTCAAAATGATTTGATCCTCATCCTCCGAGAGCTTGGAAGGAATTGCCACAGGAAAGACTCGTGAAGCGCCTTCTCAAGTCTGGCCAGAGCTCAAAAGTCTCTTCTCTGAGGGAAGAGTGCCCAGACATTTCTGATGGTGCACTGGCCTGGACACATTAATGGGTGAAGCTGCGTAGGGGGATTGAGGCCTCCTCAATTATGAAGGCAATGTTCATCATACAGCAAGGTCAAGCCTAGACATGTACCACAGTCCTGACTATGGATGCAGTGAGGTTAGCTAAGAACCCCCTAGGAAGGCTGCATATGAGGGACTTCTGGCCTCAATTCCATCTCCAACAATACCGGTTGGATAAGGATTTTTAACAGGAATTTAAGACATGCACAGATTGACCACAACTCTAAGATTGTGACTATTAAAGTGAATGTAGGCAAGTTCTTCACCCAGTCCCTGAATCATCATTGGAAGCCTGAGTGATGGCAACATGAAGAGACAGCGGTGCGAGGAGGAGCTGGCTGGTTGTGAGTTTCGGGTGGCGCAGGGGCAACACATTCCTGTGAGGGCCGCAGTGGCTCATGAGGCGTCGCCAGATGGGGTCTTTTAGCTGCCGCTCGGACCCTGTTGAGATTGTAGAGCGCCAAAGCGTTACCCAGCAGCGGTGGAGAGGGTCGGTGGGATGGGCGGACGGCACCTTCTCAGCGAGGCCACGTTTCGCTCGCACTCACTCACCCACCCGCAGAGAGTCTACGCTCGTTTCATAGTTTATTCACTGGTCGTGTTCGTGAAAAGATTGAATATCTAAATTTCGATTTGAAGCTTTCGTGACTGCAGGGATTCATATTCCCTTCTACGTGACTTTACCGAAAGAACCAAGAAGATTGATGATCATTAAATTCGCGACATCCGGCTGGCGCTATGCTCTTGCGTTTCGCAACGGGAGTGAGGATGGCGGAAGCACGAGTTGTAATGTGGGCGCGAAAAATACCCTTTTGTTTCAAATCGTGAAATTAAATGAGGCAGCTGGAACTCGCGATAGCGTCCGAGGTTTATTTACACCGCTGAAGTGCACTTTTCCTATCTCCGTGGCAACGCTTATATGGCATAAACATCACGAAAGTAAATGGCGCACAATGCACGCACACGGGAGTGGTGTTTGGAGTGTTGTACACGTGCGAGTTAATGCGCACGGTTCTCACAGGGCATGTGCAGGCGTGAGCAGAATGCCGTATGTGGATCGGTTCAATCGCATCTGTGGCTTCTTGGACATTGAGGAGTGCGAAGGCAGCGGGCGCTTCCAGCGGCGATACTTCATCCTAGATGGCTCCGCCAACAGCCTCGTGTGGTACATGGACAATCCACAGGTATGAGGGAACAGATGGGCTACGTCGCCTTGCAAGAGCCCGTTGATCAGTAGCAGTGTCGACCGTTATTGCACTTTGGATTACCCAGTACAGCTTTACTGAAGAGTGGACATTCTCTTTGTTAGGAGGATCACAGTAGTGTGGGCGACAATTGCCGTGCAATTGCTAAGCAAGCAATATGCGAGTATTTTTATTTTAATTATTTGGCAAAAGTGGACCATGATGTCAGCACGCAATGGCCTACTCTTTGAATGACATTGCAGGGTCTTTAATGTCCAGCGTTAAAGTGACGGCATGTATTGGAGCAAGGCAGATTTGTACCAAACTCAAGGTGCCAGGTCATACAGAGTGCCTTAGATTCAAGAAAGGCTAAGTGGTGGGTGCTAAGGGGTTTCAACAAATTGCCTTCATGTGCCACGGGTTGCACACACCAATTCTTTTTCCTGGCCCGCCGGTTGGGTCACGGAGGTTTAGCCTTCAAGACCAAACTCGGCTTCTACGTTGGTGGCTTTACAGCATTGTTCACCGCAATAAGTTGACGGCAGTTTCATAATAATCCCAAGTCGACTTTTAGAAAGTGTGCAGATGCCTGCTCCAAGGGCTTACATTTACTGTGGCTGCAGTGGCACAAAATTCACCCACTTCTCATAAGTGGCTTATTTGATTAATTCATTAACGGGCCTTAAATTGAATGTGAAGATTTTACTGTGAGTGATTAATACAAAATTACGCACGATGTGTATGTTCTATGTACAAAATTCCTATGTCATTGATTATTACCATGCTTCATGTTCATGAACCCACTGAACAAGTATTACAATTCCTCATTCATAATGTAATCCTAAATCTTAACTCGATAGTTTAGGGATATTTCCATTCTCTTTTGCCGATTTGTATCTCGTGCTGGACATGAATCATCGGGTTCAATGTTGTGAAATATTTGTCTGTTTCGGTTTCCTGTGACTTGCCTTGTTAGGAAGTCCCCCCCACTTTGTTTTGGCATGGAGCATATGAAGCGTATGGAGTTGTCTTCATCATTTGGACGATTACGGCCGTCGCACGCAGTCACTCCGAACGAAGATCCCTGCACGGCCATATACGGGCCCTGAGGACGTTATCCACTGAGAACAGTGCACACGAGCCAGATGTTTATTGTCTTTGAAGTACAAGGCTGCAATGCCACCAGAGAACACTATCTTTATGATGTTTTACCCATTTAAATTTAGAAGTGAATGCTCCATCCAGGGACTAGGACTGTATGTATGGGTGTGTCCTGGCATTGCGTTCACAGCATGGCGCTGGGCTGAGGGTCATCCAGAGGGCTACCCAGTGTTCTGTTGCAGTGCGTTTGAGTGGCTGAGTCATCATTGTTCCTTTTGAACCACTTTTAGAACCTGCCGGAAGGAGCGACAAATGTTGGATCTCTTAACCTCACCTACGTAAACAAGGTGCGTTCCGGCCAACATACAAGCGTTCGGTACATGTTAATACGTGCACTTCGTGTGTCTGTTGTAAATATTTGTGCATGCGGCATCTTGAAATAGGGTCACATTTAGACGCTATATAAATTACTTGGATTGGAATACACGAGTTCATGAGAATTAGTTTGATATCACGCTGCTCTTTACACACTTTACATCGCATGTCATGCCAACACATTTGATAGGGTACTCACATGGGCAGCTGGCCCTGTGGGCACAAGGTGACTCAGCGCCCCTGGCCTACAAAAGGATATTCTTCTGCCAGTTAGGGGCGATAATTGATTGCTGGGCGCCACGGTGGCGAGATGTTAACTACCTCGCTTAGTATGCAGGAGATCATGGGTTCGATCCTGATCCTGACGCCTACTGTATATTTGGAGTTTGTGTGATCTCCTCGTGGTTGCGGAGATTTTTGTCCGAGTCCTCCGGTTTTTCCCTCCACATTTAGAAACATGCACTTCGAGCATTTGGCTACTATAAATTTCCACATATTAAGCAACTTCATTGAGCTATCATTTGTGGCTAGGTCGCTTCTGAAAAAGATATATATATCTCAGTGGGCATTACCTGATCAAATAAAAAATAGTTTAGTTTTAGTTTAATCCCAATTGAGTGATGTTGCGGGTCATGTAAAATTTGTCAAATTTGGATCCAGAGGCCGGCACACCATGGTCTATTCGTTTTGAATGGGATCTTTAACGTCTGCTGTGTAGCGTATGTGAACATCTACATCTCTGCGTGAACGCAGGCTGCGTGCAGCCCATGGGCATCGCATGTGAATGTGTCTACGGGTGTTTGTGGACACGTTTTGTACCGAGACTTTTAGACTGGTTGACGCAAGCCTTGGGATTCCCATTGAGACGTTCCATCCGCATGTATTGCAGGACTTCAGCTGACATATACGTTTTATTTTTGCACTGTACATTTGGGTAATTAGTTGATTATAGAACATTTTACATTTCTAAAGCATCTAGAAGTAACTACAGCGCAAGCCACTGTATGCAAATAAATGAATATATGATATTTGCTGTATTTATATGGTGTTTTTTTTTTAAAACAGCTACTGGTGTCTGTAACGCTGAGGCAGTTCCATCAACAGAGATGTGCGCAATGACAGCAGACCCACCCAGCCTGGCTCTGAGCATACCCACAGGGGGAAGCACAGGCCCTCCCCTCCATCCCCGCTCCTTCCCCTCATCCCTCCCTCCTCTTCCCCTGTCCCCTTCCCCCCACCCTGCGCTGTGTGGATCGGTCACCCACCTCCTTGCCTCTTACTGTATGGCAGTATTAGACGGAGGGCACCGTGTGCGTTCCTGTGCACCTGCCGGCTCCTTGCTGCTCCGTGACAGCAGATTGACCCAGCCTGGCTCCGAACATCCCCAAAGGGGGGCAGCACAGCCCACCTCCCCCCTTCCCCCCTTCTCCCTCCCATCCCCATTTGCCTCTTCCCTCCCTCCATGTGCCTACCTGCGCACTTGCAGACTCATTGCTGCTCCATGTTGTTCCATTTAAGTGGTATCATGAGGAATCGTCACAAAGAACGGTTATTTTTGTTTTTGTGCACAGTGCCAATTTTTATTTAAGCAACTTGTTAACACATCCGGACACTAACCTCTCCATGTTTGTCACATGTTTGTACTTGCTTGTGAGTTGTAACTGTCTGAACTCGGGAGGGGCTTTAAAAGTAACCGTGATAAAATGCTCATCGGTCGTAAAATTAAACCAGGAAATTGCGCACTGTACGTGGGTGTAAGCGCGCTGTAATGAGCGTTTGGCCACGGGAAATTGCAGTCATGTATGTATGTTGAACTTCTTTCGCACCGTACGTAGCCAACCGTGATCATCAGAGGTGGGGGGGAAGGACAACAAACTAAACACAATGAGCAGATCATAGGGATTAAATGTTGCCAACCTCGCACACGTGGGTTTTCTCCAGGTACTCCGGCTTCCTCCCACGTGTCTAGACACTCGTGAATGGGGTTGGCATAAATGTCGTATAGGGCCACAGAGCTTGGGCAATTCATTATTGTCTGTGGTTTCCCGTCTCTCTGAATGTGACAAAAACCATGCTTGCTGCAAATCTGTGTCTTCGTTTTATCAAGTATTTGACACAACGGTCGTTTTGGAGTCCTGGCCATAGCAGGAGGCGGCACTCCAGTGTAGCGCTGCCTGTCGCCAGTGGAGCGCCGCCGGTTCGCTGAGCCGCATCCGCAGGCCTCGATTGATGCTCACAGGAAGGTTTTCTCTCCCCAGGTCAGCGATGCAACAAAGGTGCGGCCCAAGGCAGAATTCTGCTTTGGTGAGTGATGTCTTGGTGTGTTTTGCACGGCGTTTTTGAAAAAAGTATGTAAAAGCCGTCGCGGTGGGAATGATCGCGCCTCACGGCAAGATGAAGGGCCTGGGTTCGATTCCTGGCTCGAGTGCCCCTCTGTGCAGGTTCTACGTTCTCTTTCCCCCTGTTCTGCTCGGGTTTCACATGAGTTCTCCCGTTTTGAGTGCTCCTGTTTCCTACCACAGCTGGAAGCATAGACCGTCATTGGTATTGGTCAAATATGAAACATTATCTACAAATAACTCATTTGAATCTTGACTTAAAGCTTTCGTGACTGCAGGAATTCATATTCTTTGGGTCTTTTGGTAAAGTCACGTAGATAGGTTCAAAGAAAAAATCAAAATAAATAAATAACTACGACGTTTCGATTGCGACACAAGTGTTCGTCATCAGGAAGAAAAGAGACGGGGAAAGCTGCTGAGGCAGACTGTTTTAAAGGTTTAAAATGGGTGTAGCCCAAGGTTCATAAACAAAGTGGGCGGGGCTAGTGATGTTAACGTGAGAAATTAGCATGTTAATGTAGGATCGGAGGGCGACCACGGTGAGGGTGCAGAGGTGGCTATGTTACTGTGAGAGATTAGTATGTTAATGTAAGATCGCAGAGCAGCACCGGCGAGCGAGGTGGCTGTATTAATGTGGGAAATTTAAACCTGTTAATGTAAAATCAGAGAGCCGAACATTAAACAACTAACATCGGAAGGTGGTAGGATCGGAACATCACAGCCAGTTATGACTTGAACTGGTTGATAACATCCTTCCAATCATTGCTCAGTTTATACCCATCTTCTCGATTGAAGTTGTGTCTGTGTCATCATCACCTGACCATCATCACCTAGCCGGTGAACTGAAACACATACACCAAGCCCTCAAGATGAATTAATATTCAGACTACACAATCCATAAAGCCATCACCCCAACCGTTGGGAAAGAACCATCTGAAGACCCAATCAAAACCATCACCTTGCCATACATAGCAGGGGTCACCAAAAAGATCTCCAAAAGCATGAGCAAACACACGATCCAGATTCGATTTAACACAGTACATAAAATTCGTGATCTGATCCCATCTGTAAAGGATGTGATCCCTGACATGCAATACCCCGGTGTCTACAAACTAAGCTGTCTGCAGCAGTAGTTACATTGGGGAAACTAAGCGACATGTCTCGGACCGTGTTCGTGAACATAAGACAGATCTGAAACACGGTAGGACCAATACCTCGGCCGTGGCTGATCATTATTTTAATTTACGTTAGGCTCACACGAAATTGATTTCTCTAAGACGAAGGTACTTTGCAAACCCACTGGCTATCAACAAATATTCGTTTATCATGGGACCTCCTTTGCCAGTACCAAAATAGGAGAATAGGTTTTTCCCCTTTTATCTGGCAACAAAACAGGTGTTAAGTTGTTAAAACACCAAACTGATAATATATGCATTGTCTTTGAAACTGATTGGTCCACACCAGAGACAGCTTTCTTAGTCTCAAACGGTGTTAGACCAGAGAACGCCTTTTGGTGTTTTAACAACTTAAGACCTGTTTTGTTGCCATATAAAAGGGGAAAACCCTAATCTCAATGAACGAATCAAAGATTCATGAACGAATCAAAGATTCGTTCATGAATCAAAGATTCGTTCATGAAGCCATCTACAGACACAACTTCTATCACTCGCCAAGCTCGACGTTGCTGCTCTGATCTTCCATTAACATACTAATCTCTCACATTAACATACTAATCTCTCACATTAACACACTAATCTCTCACATTAACATACTAATCTCTCACATTAACACACTAATCTCTCACATTAACATGCTAATCTCTCACATTAACATACTAATCTCTCACATTAACATACCAATCTCTCACAGTAACATACTAATCTCTCACATTGACATACTAATCTCTCACATTGACATACTAATCTCTCACATTAACATACTAATCTCTCACATTAACACACTAATCTCTCACATTAACATACTAATCTCTCACATCAACACACTAATCTCTCACATCGACATACTAATCTCTCACATCAACACACTAATCTCTCACATCAACACACTAATCTCTCACATTGACATACTAATCTCTCACATTAACATGCTAATCTCTCACATTAACATACTAATCTCTCACATTAACATACTAATCTCTCACATTAACATACTAATCTCTCACATTAACACACTAATCTCTCACATTAACATACTAAACTCTCACATCAACACACTAATCTCTCACATTGACATACTAATCTCTCGCATCAACACACTAATATCTCGCATCAACACACTAATCTCTCGCATTGACATACTAATCTCTCACATTAACATGCTAATCTCTCACATTAACATACTAATCTCTCACATTAACATATTAATCTCTCACATCAACACACTAATCTCTCACATTAACATACTAATCTCTCACATCAACACACTAATCTCTCACATTAACATACTAATCTCTCACATTAACATACTAATCTCTCACATCAACACACTAATCTCTCACATTAACATACTAATCTCTCACATTAACATACTAATCTCTCACATTAACATACTAATCTCTCACATTAACATACCAATCTCTCACATCAACACACTAATCTCTCACATTGACATACTAATCTCTCACATTAACATACTAATCTCTCACATTGACATACTAATCTCTCACATTAACATACCAATCTCTCACATCGACATACTAATCTCTCACATCAACACACTAATCTCTCACATTAACATACTAATCTCTCACATCAACACACTAATCTCTCACATTAACATACTAATCTCTCACATCAACACACTAATCTCTCACATCAACACACTAATCTCTCACATCAACACACTAATCTCTCACATTAACATACTAATCTCTCACATCAACACACTAATCTCTCACATCAACACACCAATCTCTCACATCAACACACTAATCTCTCACATCAACACACTAATCTCTCACATTAACATACTAATCTCTCACATTAACATGCTAATCTCTCACATTGACATACTAATCTCTCACATCAACACACTAATCTCTCACATCAACACACTAATCTCTCACATCAACACACTAATCTCTCACATTAACATGCTAATCTCTCACATCAACACGCTAATCTCTCACATTAACATACTAATCTCTCACATCAACTCACTAATCTCTCACATTAATATACCAATCTCTCACATTAGCTGCCTAATCTCTCACATCAACACACTAATCTCTCACATTAACATACCAATCTCTCACATTAGTTGCCTAATCTCTCACATTAACATACTAATCTCTCACATCAACACACTAATCTCTCACATTAACATACTAATCTCTCACATTAACATACCAATCTCTCACATTAGCTGCCTAATATCTCACATTAACATACTAATCTCTCACATTGACGTACTAATCTCTAACATTAACATACTAATCTCTCACATTAACATACTAATCTCTACTCTTTGGTTCTATTCGGTAAAGTCACGTAGGTAAAAAAATAAAACAACAAAAATCACGACGTTTCGGCCACAACACAAGCGGCCTTCATCAGGTGAAGGGACCAGACTGTCTCGAAGACTGCGCTGGAGTGAAACAGAGCCAAGCTCAGACCACGACCTTTAAGCTGTGTGAGAGGGATTAGGGTGCCTTGACAAAGGAATTAGCATAAAAAATAGCATTTGATTGGCGGCTTTAGCATGATGAAAGGTGCAGCTCAGTGATCGGCGACGGCATTGCAACCGCCTGTGCTGCGAAAGTTTGGGGTACCACTACTTGAAAAAATATACTGTACCAATGAAAATTAGTTTAATGTTTGGTTCGATTTAGAGCATCTTTCCAATGGTTGCTTAATTTGAAACCGTCTTCTCGGTTGAAATTTTGTCTGTGTTTGTAGATCTGAATTGCCTCGTGAACAAATCTCTGATAAAAACCTCACAGTAACATAGCCACCTCCGTGCCCTCGTCGTGGTCGCCCTCCGATCTTACATTAACATTATGCTAATTTATCACATTAACATTTCTCGCCCCACTCACTTCGTTTATGACCCTTGGGCTACACCCATTTTAAACCTTTATAACAGTCTGCCTCAGCAGCTTTCCCCCTCTTTTTTCTTCCTGATGACGACCGCTTTTGTTGCGATCATAACGTCGTAGTTTATTTTTTATTTTATTTTCTTTGAACCGATCTACGTGACTTTACCGAAAGACCGAAAGAATATAAGAATAAGTCATATTTAAAAATACTTTTTTTAAAACACGCATTAATGAAATGTACCATACTCATAATGGCAGAACTCCACGACTCTAGGAAGTGGCCGCAAAGCTTGCCATAACGTAAGGGGCCATGGTTATTTACAGCCAACATGAGTTGACCGTGGACAATTAGACCCAAGTCGAAACATAACATATAAAAAATAATGTTTAAAAATATATATTTTTTTAATAGAATGTAGTATTGTCATCAGTATGACATAAGTATACCAAGTTTGCAGTCGATACCACATTGGGAAGTGGGTTAAAATTTAGTTACAAGATTTGAGGATACAACAACAACAACAGACAGAGTGAGTTAAATAAAAACGTGTAAAAAGAGTCTTGAGAATCGGTACGGCTTTGCTGGGTAAACAAGCCAAGTAGTAGTAATAATAATAAGTAAACTAGTTGGATGCATTGTTTTGGAAGGATTTTTAAGTTTACATCACTTCACACGTTTGAGGTATTGGAACAGGCTTCTGATTTTTGGTGGAGTAGAGACCAACTTGGCACAAACTGAGCGGGGTATTTTTTATTTCCCTGCCAGCACAGACCCCAGGCCCCTGGTTTCTTAACCCTGACCGCTGTTGCTACACGTGCTGCTTTGATTATTTTGGAGCCACAAATGCTCTCATATTTCCTCTTTCTATCACCTGACACTCGCCTTGCTTCAGCTACTCAATCTCAGCCTCTATATTCCCGAAGCAAAGCCGTTCAGCCGTGCAAGGTGGCACATGCCCCGAATCCATTATTCTGGAGACAGATGTTTGCTGGATCACTTGGGTATACTGTACAAGGGTTATACCTCATCGGATTCCTCCAGTATAAATAAATATTCTGAATCTGAGATATGTGAACCTCCCAAACCTTATCAATGTAGCCATGAGGTAAGTGCGGTGAGCATTGAGACTCATTAAGGATTTCCTGGATGAGTTAAATCTATACATTGCCCCCTCACACTTTTGTACTGGCAGAATACTCCTTGAAATGCACGTCATTGATGTCATTTTGACACGTGCGTAATAAATGTTTGATAAGACTCTATTACCGTGCATCATAGTGCACCTTGCCCCTTTGGGTCTTTGTGATTGTAGTTATCAACTCAGGGATGAGGAGATTTTTCCTGCAAGCCAACGACCAACAAGACCTCATTGACTGGGTGGAGGCCCTCAACAATGCCAGCAAGATCACGGTACGTGCCAGAAGCCCTGACTGCGGCGGTGTGCTTGTGAGCGTGTGCCCCGGGAGCACCCTGCTGCGCTGCCCATGGTTGTGTGTGAAAAGGGCCGCAGTTCGACCGCGACTGGGGTGGCGATTGCGTGTCCCAGCGGCCCCGCGGTCGCCGCTTGTTGCAGAGGTTCGCGGTTCGAATCTCTGGTCTGCCGTGATCAATACTGCTGCTGTGGGTATATTGACAATGTTGACGCTACGCGCCATCCGCTTCACTCACAAGTGGACGTTAAAGATCCTTGACGCCGTTCACGAGAGTATGCCGTTGTGTGCCGACGTCTGGGTCCAACTTTTCCAAATTCGATCAATTACCTGCAACATCACTCAATTGGGATTAAACTAAAACTAAACACGAAATTTAGCACTCTTCTGAAATTCGTGGACCGCCAGGCAAGTGTCTAACTGTGTCGTTGGCCGACTGGTTTTGCATCACGTAATACTTTCTTAGGTTTGTTGAATTCTCGTCTCTCATCTTCCTGTTGTATTTACCTCCGTGCAGTCTAACGTTCTCTATGTGTTGCGTTGATGTAACCTATGTACTCCCTCACTGTTTTTTTTTTTTTACACCTGATGAAGATCGCTTGTGTTGCGGTCGAAACGTCGTGATTGATTTATTTTAATATAATTTTATGGTATTTCTACATACGTGACTTTACCGAAAAAACCAATGAGTAATTTTATGCAGTCACGAAAGCTTTAATTCTTTATTAAACCTTTTTATTTGACCAGGTATGGCCCACTGAGCTCTGTAGCTTTTTTCAGAAGCGCCCTCACATTTTTTAATTACGTCCATTGTGAAAACATGGGAACAACCTCCTGAAAGAGTCATGAGACTCACCGAGGCTTTTCTGGATTAGCAAAACATCATAATAAATACTTACATTTCTGTCTGTGTGTGGAGTGGTGTTGCAGTGGTGAGCAAACTATGCTACAATCCCAGAAATTTGGTATCTGAATTTATCACGGGCTGTGTCTATGTTATCTCAGCCTTGAATGAATACTTTGGTGTGCAAACATTTGTGGAGACAAATGTGGCCAGAGGTGGTCCTGACCACAGCACCCACTTTGTGCACCGTGTAGGCCTTGAAAGGTGTTCCCTCACGGTACTTGTGCCTCCAGTCTACACAGCTCAACAGGGGATGCTGTCTGCACAGTCAGAATAAATAGTTCAGTACAACCATTCTTTCAGATTATGCATTCTCAAAATGTTTTTCCTTTGCTTGTGAAGGATTTAAGCGTCCTAGCCAACTGTGTTTGATTTCTGCGTGCTAAAACAATGGGTGGTATAAATAACATTCGAGGAAAGATGCCGTGTGCTATTTTGGGCATACGGTTACATATGGGGTAATTTCCTCTGCGCTCACTGTAACACATTAGTGAGATGCGGTAGTGATCCTCTTGCAGTCTTATGTTGCATTGAGTGGGGTTATGGTCAGGATCAAAAAGGTTAGGCTATGTTCTGTTGGTTGATAATGGAGACCGTGTTTTGTGGTGAACCCACTGGATAAACACCGATGCCTTCCGTGTGTCCGGCAAGACAACACAGTGGTAAAGCTCGCGGCTCGCAGCAAGAAGAGCCTTGTTCGATTCCTCAATTCTGGCCCCTTTCTGTGTGGCGGTTATATGTTCCGTGTGGTGGTTGTATATTCTGTGTGGCTGTTAAATTTTCTCCCCATATTCTGCACAGAGTGAGTGTGTGAATGTAGGTGTGTATATGTTTAATACAATACAAAAATAACCTGCAGTGCCACACAGTGAGTCTGAAAACTTGTTATTGTGCACTCTTGAGTCCAATCCATCACCATCTTTAAGGGACAGAACAGTGATCCAATCCCCGAACCCCAGGAACAAGTTTCCAGGTTTTCTGAGAACAATTCCGCAAACGAGGAACCCCATAAAATCTTGACAACAGTTATAACAACATTTTAGGGCAGAACAATTCCACAAACGAGAAGGACGAAACACAAAAATAAAAAATCCTAACATCAATAATAACGGCAAGGAAGAGAGAGAGAAAAAAAATACAATCCGACTCGCGTTGCTCGAAACCCGATCCCAACGCACCCCCACACACACAGGAAGATTCCTATTTACGGAACATGGCACATTTCGACCGGGTCCTTGACGCCGATCCATCCTTGGGGGCGAACTTTGTCTTCTCTCCGGGCGATGGAGACGTGCATAAAAGCCCTAAAGGGGTTGGCTCCTCCCCTGTTTCTTTAGAAGACGTGGACCGAGCTCCAGCCAGTGGTCCATCGCACACAGTGGGATCCCGTGACTCCGCGGCCTTCAGGGGCTCAGAATCTTTTGGCGGCACAACACAATCCTTCTGACGCACTCTCTCTGTGGCCGATTCCTCCAACTCGTTGAACACATCAGACACCGGCCGTACAGTGCTTGGAGATGATCCGTCAGTTTGGGGAAGAACATGGTTTCAGACGTGACGGATGTACAAATCAACGGTGACGCCCCACCTGTATACCCACACACTGTGGCCGTTCAATCTCCACCACTTCCACAGGACCCTGCCATGACCGATGCAGTTTAGGGGACGTGCCCAGGGGCACCTGCGGGCAGTGCAACCATACCCTGTCCCCGATGGCCCATGGAAGCACACGCTCATGCTGCCCCGCGTTCTTTTCATTGGCGGTATTTACCTTAGCCGCGTCGCGTGCTGCCGACATGCAACTCAGCGTAACCTGCAGGGGCATGGGCAAGGCCGTTTTTCCATTACCCGCCCGTCATGCCCAATTGGACCTCCATGGGGGGTTCATTCTCCCTCCTGTGCATAAGGAAAAATGGCAAAAATCCCGTGGAAGCGTGTGGGGCCATCCTGTACGCTGCCAAGACTACATGTGTACAGACTGCCCTATGTGAATTCATTACAACCGGCTGGTCCACAGGACGAGTTCCACAGGACCTGAAGGATGCCCTGGTGGTCCTAATTTTTAAGAAGGGGGACTACACTGATTGCAACAATTACTGTGGCATTTCTCACGTCAGTGTGCTGGGAAATGTCCTGGCAAGGATTATTCAACATTAACTTGCCAGGCACGCTGAGGAGAGGCTTGTGGAGCCCCAATGTGGTTTCAGGCCAGGGCAGTCCTGCATGGATCCCATATTCTTGGTCTGTCTGCTAGCAGCAGAGGTGTAGGAAATATCAACAGGACCTACATCTCTGCCTTTTCTTCCTGGTCAAGGCCTATGATACTATCAATAGACCAGGGCTCTGGATTATACTTCATGTTTTGAGAGTCCCAGACCCTCTGTTCACAATTATTAAGGACGTTCATGTTGGTGGGAAAGCCATGAGTAAAGCTACGTGGCCCAGAGTCAGAGATATTTCCTGTTCATTTTTTGGGTGCAACAAGGATGTTCTCTGGCCCCTACACTATTTTACATTTTTTTAATTATATAATTCGAGATGTTTTACATGGCTGTACTGGAGGAGTTTCCATTTTTTTACAGATACCATGGGAGGCTGATCGATGCTCTTGTGCAGTCAAGGGATGGCCTCCATGTTATGTATACCGGTGATCTGGTAATTACTGCTCATTCTGAGGAGTTGGAGATGCTACTGCTGAACCTGGAGCGTGCTACAAAGAGATGGGTTCTTACCATTAGTTCCACCAATACAAAGCACCTGCATGGGTATTTTTATATCATCAACACATCCACTCGTCATGAGTGATGGAGCAGTTGTGCAGAGAGTAGAAAAATGTTTGTACCTGGGCAGTATGCGTATGACCAGCTTCGTTTTGGTAGAGGAGGTATCACTCCAAATCAGTCAGGCGGCATTATATTTTGATCAACTTCACAATTTTGCTTGGAAGATACCTGACCTATTACTCCATACAAAGTTCCAGGTCTTCTCTAGCCACAGTTATGCCCTGTGCTCCCTTTATGCTTGCGAAATGTGAAGCCCTTTAAAGGAACATCTGTCGGTTTGAAACATTCAGGCTGGTTTGCCTCCCGGCAAGACTGGATTGTGAGCAGCTCACAGATGTTTGAAACATCTGAACACAGTCCCATCAGTGAGCTCCTCTGGCAGGCGAGGCTATCTTGGTTGGGTCATGTATCCTGCATGCTCACCCACTGCATGCCCAAGCAGCATCTGTTTGGCCGGATAGATGGAGCAAAATGGGTGCGGTATGAGCTGGAGAAGAGATGGGCTGATGTAGTACAGAAGTATGTGGAGCTGAGTTGACTTGTTGATGACTGGATACCAGCGGTGTCAAGATTGTCCTCTGTGGAGGAGGCTCGTGAAGGATGCTACTGGGCAGTTGGATGCAGTCGACCTCCAACAACAGAGGGTAAAGGAGCGATGCTCAGCAATGAGTGTAGCACCAGGCAGCTAAAATGCTGTAAGTTGGCACATTAGAGAGCACAGGTGGTAGATCTGGCCGACATCAACCCATAACACCTGAGTCTCTTCTGTGACCTGCCAGCGAGCCTTTGACACTTCACCTGGCCTCAAGGTACACCATGCCTGGCACACAGTGAAGTGACTTTTCCACCACTTAGTAGCTTCTAGTGGTTGTTGTGTGAAGTATGTTCCGCTGTTCAGCGTGAGTTCCCTCTGGGTTCTCCGGTTTCCTCCCATAGCTAAAAAAACACAATCTAACCAGTATTGGCCAAACATTCTAAAGCTGAAAAATTACAAACAGCTTACTCAATTGGGATTATACAGCAACATCATCCCCTACCTCGGAAGCCTGGTGGAACACTGCAAGACATTACCGGGTAGACTTGCATGAACAATAATAATAATATCCACACACGACTAAGTTTTTTGTGAGTGTCATGAATGTATGTATTTTGAACTTCTTTTGCACTTTACGTACATGTTTCTCTGTGTCTTTGGCTTGTTTACATAAACTACCTGGGTGAGGTTTGCAAACGTGAATGTGGCTCAACATTTTGTACGTCACAGGGCTGGCGTATATGTTATGTTGGCTCAATAACTGAAGAAACATCTAGTTTTACGCTCTTGCCAATTATGATTTGCATCTTTGAAACATGTCTTTTTTTACTACGCCAAAATAACAAGAAGAGCCATTTATTTCAAATTCGGCAAAAATCTAAATTTCAAGAGCCGCAATGCATGTAGTGAATACGAGATGGTGGTCCTCCTTAATAAACAACGTCACAAAGCAGTTCCTTAAAGAGCCGCAGGTCGCCGACCCCTGCTGGAGATCATTACTAATACAAACTGTGTTCTATGGGAACGAGTATGCAAGTTGTTTATCATGACGTTCAAAAGGCAGGCTTTGTTACTAGCGAGCACGAGGGTGCTGGTTGTCGAAGCCCTCTTAATGAAGCCGGCAGTGTTGTTGTCGTCGTGGTGGTATGCGGAGGATGCCCTCTCATAGTGGCGTCGTCGTCGTGTCTCCCCCAGGTGCCCAGGCCGTGCACCCCGTCCTCGGCGTGCGGGAGGAGCTCCGTGGCCATGGAGGCGGCGCTGCTGCGTTCCGCTCACGCTGGGCCCTACCGTACCGAGGTGATCGGCGGTGTCGTGCTGCAGCTGCCCGTCTCACAGCCGGTGGGTGCGAGGAGTGTGACTGAGTGAGCTAGTGTGATAGAGTGAGCGAGAGTGTGAGTGTGAGCGAGAGTGTGAGTATGAGAGAGTGAGCGAGAGTGTGAGTGTTCGTGGTGGATGTGGTGTTGAGGTGGTGGACACGGTGTTGAGTTGGTGGACCCGATGTTGAATTGGTGGACGCGGTGTTGAGGTGGTGGACGTGAATGAGGTGGTGGATGTGAATGAGGTGGTGGATGCGGTGTTGAGGTGGTGGACGCAGTGTTGAGGTAGTGGACGCGGTGTTGAGGTGGTGGACGCGGTGTTTAGGTGGTGGACGTGGTGTTGAGGTGGTGGATGCAGGTGGACACTCCGTCAGTGTGGAGCAGGAGAAACCCGGATCCCTGCGCCGCACCCAAAGCCAGTCCCCTCGCGCTGTCCACCGCGAGTCGCCAACTCAGCCGTTTGCACTGAAGACGGGCTACTGCGTCAAGCAGGGGGGCATGGTGTGTACCACAGTCTCAGCGTGTTGATGCTCCTACCACTGCTGCTAGTGCTGCCCTGTTACACCAAATATTGGACATTATTAATGCATAATTCGCGTGTGTAGTACAACTCTTTTTACCCATTATCTTATCAACATTGTACAAGATGAAACTGTTATTGTTATTACTATTCTCTGGACTTTGGCTGATGTCAGGAGCTAAAGGATGTTTAGTGTCACCACACCTAATGTTGTCTTCACCTCCGTAGCCTTAGTTGCGTTTGTGTTTTATGTATGTTGACCTTGTTTTGCACTTTACGTAGCCAACCTTGCTAATCGGAGGTGCAGGTGGCAATCCGAGGTGTGTTGTGTCTCTGTGCCGTGTTTCTGATGTTACTGTGGCTTGCGATGTTCAACGTTTTGAGATGCAGTTTGTATGAGTAACATTATTATTTGATTTGAAGCTTTCTTGACTGCAGTAATTACTTTCTGGTTCTTTCGGTAAAGTCACGTAGAAAGAAAATAAATTTAATAATAGAATACGACGTTTCGATTGCAACACAAGCAATCGTCATCAAAATTTACCAGGCTCTCATAAGTCCATTCGCTCTTTCTCTCCCCCTGCCGCCGCGGGGTGTATTTCCACACAGCTCTAATTTAGCAATCTTTGGAGAACATAATCAACCAGGCTATGCGTTAACTGTGTGTTAGCCGACTCTCTGCGTTGCATTGCATTACATTTCCAAAAAAATGCTAAGTTTGTGTTCTTAAACTGCCTATTTCTCTCTCTAAAATTTACCAGGCTGTCATAGGTCCATTCGGTCTTTCTCTCCCCCGGGCACTTCGGGGTGGATTTCCACACAACTCTGTCTAAACAACAAAAATACCAGACTTGCTGGGTCTTTCTCTCTCCCTGCCGCTGCGGGGTGGATTTCCACACAGCTCTCTCATTGACATGCTAATTTCTCTGCTCCAGCATCCCCACCTCACTCCCGGCCCCCCCCCCCCCCCCCCCCCCGTCTCTCTCTATTTAAGGCGACGACACAGAGGCATTGGGTCTCTGTGTGTCTATGTTGTGTGTCACTGTGTGTCTGTTGTCTCAATCTGCTTGTGTGTCTGTGTGTCTCCATGTCTGTGTTTGGTCTCTCTCTCAAATGTAGTTCTACCTAATGACTGCTTGTGTTGCAATCGAAATGTCGTATTCTATTATTTAATTTATTTTCTTTCTACGTGACTTTACCGAAAGAACCAAAGAGTAACATTATTGTATGCTCCAACCCTGCTCAGTCCTCTGCATGAAGAGTGGGAAAACCTTCCGGTGTAGCCGTGGCATTGAGGCCTCATTTCACAAAGCAACGCAGTCTGCGCGCTCACTGGCACTGCTGACGCGTGCACGCACGCACCAACTCAGAACCCTGTGGGAAGCCACAAGGAAGCTAACGATATCTGGAGCTCCATTCTCTAGTCGGTCGTACTGGAGACTCCCTCCAAATACAGCCTGTGCACGGTTTGGCTACGTAGGGTGCCAAAGAAGTTCAACATACATACCTATCCTGAGCCTATCTCTCATTGCTATGGAGCTTTGAAATACACTCCCCACTGAGTCATTGTATTGTCTGTACCTTATGTTTCAGCATTTAGAAATATACATTTGTGTTACAAATTTTGAAGTCGTGTTTTTATATTTTACAGATGAAAACCTGGAAAAGGCGCTTCTTTGTACTGAATGAATGCACCATCAGTTACTACAAGTCTGAATTTGTAAGTATTCATATGCTCCATAAATGAAAGTTGTAAAGTGAAACGAGTTTAATTGTGAGGAAAGATGTAATTCATTGACAGGAGAATTAAGCCCTTTCGAGGGCGAATCTCATTGCAATTAACTTTCTCAAAAGCTGGCCAGTGCCCTCTGCTGGCCACGTCACGGCGGTGACGCGGGGCCGCCTCTACCGTGGCAGCCCCCTCTGCGGCCGGGGACGTCTCTCGCCGTATTGGCGGTCATTGGTATCCGAGTACGACGCTCACTCCAGTAACTAGAGTCCAGAGTCCAGGATGACGGACTTCGAGGTCACCGCTTGCTCCCATCCCGACTAGTGCTCGGGCGACTCGCGAGTCCCATTGTGGCTCCGTATGCTCGCCCTGCGGGCTTCACAGCGGCAGTGAGTGTGCGGAGTGCCGCGCGGCTGGCGCCGGGCTGCTTGGCGGTGGCCGCATCGTAGCGACGCGCGCTGCACACGCGGGGTGTGTGTGCACTGCCCTTCTGTCCCCTGCCCTCTCTCGCAAGCTAAAACTTCCTGCTGGTTCTTGCCTGCCAGTTTGCATTTTGGCAGCAAAGGTTTGGCTGCGCTTGTGGATGTGGCAGAGTGGCCGACTTGCTGGCACAGCCCCCACATTGCCTTGAGACCACGCTGCTCTCGCTCACTTTCGTAGCCGTCTGGCTAACAGCAGCAGCTACTTATCAGCAAGAATCTGACAGCTCGTTAATGATGACGACTTCGATGAGCCACTAATTCACCGGCGAGATACAGGTTGCAGCTTTGTTTGGAGGTGGTCGATGTTAAAGTAACATTTTTCAAGAACAAATGTTATATTTGACATAGGTTCTGTTGAAACAAGTCTACGGGTTCCCCTCTGCTTAATCACAGGAGAGAGACCCTCTGCGCACCATTCTAATAAAGGACGTAATCAAGGCAAAAGAGAACAGCCATGGGTAAGGTGTGTGTGATGTGTGTTTGTTTTTACGTGCGTGTGTCTGTGTTTATTTGTGTGTCTGTGTTTACTTGTGTGTTTGTGATGTGCGTCTGTGTTTACGTGTTTGTGTCTGTTTACTGGTGTGTTTGTATTTTTCGATTTAAAGCTTTCGTGACTGCAGGGATTCATATTGGTTCTTTCGGTAAAGTCACGTAGAAGGGAAATAATAAAATAATAAAAATAAAACAATAAAATAATATTAAATTCTCACGACGTTTATGTAGGATTAGCAGTAATAAAGGGAGGGAAATTTTTATAATAAAGAACTGCATATCAAGCTAGTGCATTGTGGGGAACAAAAAAGGAGTTTCTAAAGAACTGCAAATACCCCACTACCATACAATAAACCGATTGAAAAAATATATAAACTACATCAATATCATCAATGTACTCAATATACTCTCCAATAAGCTGAGCTATTAACATTAAGTAACTGGGTATACACTACACTATATAATGACTACCATATAGTAAACTGATAAAAAAACTAAAATATAAACTCCATAAATATGAATTATGATTTAAAGCTTTCGTGACTGCAGGGATTCATATTCTTGGTTCTTTCGGTAAAGCCACGTAGAAGGGAAACAATAAAATAATAATAATAAAAATATAAAACAATAAAATTCTCACGACGTTTCGACTGCAACACAAGCAATCATCATCAGGTGTGTAAACCACAGCAAATTTTCTTGCTGTGGTTTTCACACCTGATGATGATTGCACATTTTCTGGCTGTGGTTTTCACACCTGATGATGATTGCTTGTGTTGCAGTCGAAAGGTCGTGGGAATTTTATTTTTTATATTTTTATTATTTTATTGTTTCCCTTCTACGTGACTTTACTGAAAGAACCAAGAATATACATCAATATAATCAATAAACTCAATATACACTCCAATAAGCTGAGTTACTAACAATAAGTCATTATACATTACACTTCTATGTCGAAAAAAGTGGCGTTTTTTTCCTTAACGTTAGCACCACGGAAAGCGGTGAGCGTTGTTCAGACGGAAGAGTCCATCTATGCTCGGAACGGAGGAGGGGGGAGAGAGAGAAACAACCACGGTGCGCTGCTCTGTCCTGTGCTGCGTTACAACTATGCTATAAACTAGACTACTATACATTACAATATCATACCTTCCAATCTAAACTACACTGTATAATATCGTATACACAGCCGAATATAAACTCTAACATGCATTATATTGATATGCCTCCAACTAAACTTTTTTCTACATCACACGACTATACACCGTACTATACACTGCCATAGACAAACCCCAACATTGAATTATACACTGCGTTACTATACACTACCCTATACCTTAGACCAGGGGTCACCAAACTTTTTTCACAGTGGGCCGGATAACTGAAAGAATGACGAGCGCGGGCCGCATAATCATTCTGTTCAATACTTGCAAGCCAGAACGAAAGCTCGGGGAAAAAAGACGAAAAACTAAGTTTAGCATTCCATGTTAATCATGGGTGAGTGGCGTGCAATGCACAAAAAACAAAGACAAACAACATTTATTTACTAAAACGTTATCAAAGAAGGCGACGTTAGCAAAAAGATAGATAGTTACATCAGACCTAGTGTGCACATATCCGAATCTCACAAACTAAGCAGCAAAAAAATGTTAGTGAGATTTGTGAAACTGACGTTTGGCTTTCAAGATATCATCAATGTTTGGTTTGGAATTGCTGCATCCAATCAAGAGAATTGCTTTCAAATGTTCATCAGTCAATCTCGTTCGATGTGTTGACTTCACATACTTCATTTTTTAAAATGTTTGCTCACAGACATAAGTTATTCCAAACACTGATGCCATACCAGCGGCAAATTTCTTCAGTTTCGGAAACTCAACATCAGGTAAGCAGCGGTAAAATTCAACAAGTTTTCATTCTCTGTGCTCTTTTTCAACAAGTCATTTGCTTGCAAATCAATGAGCTCCAACTGTAGTTCAACTGGCACATCATCAAGGTTACAATCAAACGGATTCTGGAACAGAAGAATGTCACTCAATTCTGTCAAGATCTGAAAATCTCTTCAAAAAATGCTTCTTCAAGTCACGAATAATCTTTTTTGGAAAATCGAGGTTGACATCTTCAGCGATTGTAGCGCAAAATTCTTTGAAACAGTGAAAATGAGAGAAGTTTTCTCTTTCCAGTTGTGCTTCAAACAATGACAGCTTTCTCCAAAATCCTTTGATGTTTCTGTAGAGATCACAGACGAGGTTATCCTTTCCCTTAAGTTTCAAGTTCAGTTCATTCATGTGGGATGTGATGTCGACCAAAAATGACAACTTTGACAGCCAGGTAGGATCTGACAGCTGTGGATCAGCTCTATCTTTTTCAGTGAGAAAAACATCTATTTCGTTTCGGAGCTTGTAAAAACGAAACAGGACTTTACCGCAGCTGAGCCACCTCACTGCTGTGTGATAAGGCAAGTCACAGAAATCAGAATCCATTTCTTCAAGAAAAGCCTGGAACTGACGGTGATTGAGTGCATGTCCCCGAATGAAGTTCACAGCAGAAATGACTGGTTTCAGTACACAAGAAATATCTAAGTCTTTCCCACAGAGTGCTTGCTGATGTATAATGCAATGTATGAACAGAGCACCCGGAATTTGCAAATCTTCCATCTGCGTCCTGATCTGCCCCACCAGACCCTTCCTCACTCCAGCCATGTTTTTTCCTCCATCAACTGTAACACCTCGAAGCTGATTCCACTGAAGGTTATAGTCTTGCAAAGTTTTTTGCACTTCCATGAAAATGTCTTTTCCAGTTGTTGTTCCATGCATGCTGCAAACGGATGCCAACTCTTCCATTATCTGAAAGTCCAAATTGACACCACGAATGAACACGAGAAGTTGTGACGTACTCGAGAGATCAGTAGATTCATCCAGCGCCAGAAAATACCACAACAAATTCCTAGCTTTCTCGCGTATTTGTAGCACAATGTTCTCTCCAAGTTCTTCTGTTCTCCGCACAACTGAACTTGCCGAAAGGCTGATACTTCCAAACAAATCGGCTTTCTCAGGACACAAGTCATTTGCTGCTTCCATCATACACTCTTTGATGAAGTTGCCATCAGTAAACGGTTTTCCTCGTTCTGCCATCTTATGCACTATTTTGTAACTTGTACGAGTTACAGATTCCTTTTCAGCAAACTTTCTTTGAGTTTCTAAACCACGTTTCATGGACTCATATTTCTCAGAGCGTAACTTTCCAGAAAACTTTGAATATGTTGATAGATATTCTTAGTTTTTTCGGTAAAGTCACGTTGAAGAGAAACAACAAAATAACAAAATATATATAAAACAATAAAAAATTCTCACGACGTTTCGACCATAACTCAAACGGTCATCATCAGGTGTGTCGGTTTGCATAAATTTATTTTGAAAACGGCATATTTATTAAGATCTTTCAACAAACTCCGGGATAAGAAAGCTCAGCTGATCGAGTCTCTCACCTTCCTGAAGAGATGCCGCGACTCTGGGGTAATACCAATCGCATTTACACTCACCTCTGCTACTGTAACTTCTTCTAATGCGAAACGAATTCTTTTCAAAACTAGTTTAGCTCTTATCTCAGAAAAAATCAGACTTATACGCACAGAACTAGATCAGTTAGACAAGACACTCTACAAATCACACTTATCATTGACGGCAATAATGTCCACATCGGATTGGGAACATGTAGACAATATGACTGCCTCTTCAGCTGCTACGATGTCGACCAAATGTAAGGAAAACCTGATTTCCAAATTTAACCTCCTCTTAAACAAAAGACCGGACCCACACACCAAAAAGTTAGACGTTAATAAAGTCGTAATTAATCGCAGTAACAGTTCTATTTCCGATGGTCTGAAATCCGTTTTAGCTAAAGGTCTAAACTTTGCAGTCACACCTAAACACATACCAGTTAATGATATAATTGCCCAAGTAGACGTTGCTCTCAGGGGCCTGGGTCACATCGCTGCAGACGTAGCAAGATCTGAAATCGCTGCAACCCTCAAAAACGCTAAGATGCCAGCTAGCAACCTCAGCAAAGATGAGCGTTTTGAATTATATAAATTAAAAAAGAGGAATGATATTGTAGTTCTCTCAGCTGACAAAGGCAATGCTACTGTTATCATGGATAAAATAGAATACAACAACAAAATTAAAGAATTACTCGACGATGGTAGTTATACAAAAATAAAAAGAGATCCCACCAACAGCCTCGTCACACAAACCAACAAAATAATTTCTGATTCAACCACATTAATTGATCAATCTAAACAGTTTTCGTTGAAACCTTCTGCTGCCAGGCCACCAAGATTATACGGCTTACCAAAAATACATAAAGTTGATACACCTCTTCGTCCCATAGTCTCTACTATCAGCTCCCCCACCTACAAACTAGCTCGTTTTTTGTCTGAAATCCTGCGTCCTTTCACTGGAAAGACCACCTCTGCGGTACAAAATTCTACTCACCTGGTATCAACAATCAAGGGTATTTCCCTGTCCCCAGACGACCTGCTTGTCAGTTTTGATGTAGTTTCCTTATTCACCAAGGTTCCTGTACCTGACACCATTGCAATCATTGAAGACTTGGTTCATCAAGGACTAAACACTGAGGTACCCCCCCTGGTGAGACACTGTTTAACCAATACATACTTCACTTGGAATGGAACTTTCTACAAACAAACTGAGGGCACCCCAATGGGCTCCCCCCTTTCTCCAGTTATAGCTAACATTTTCATGGAGAAATTTGAGACTGACGCCATCCAGACTGCCACTCTGCGCCCAACCTTATGGAAGAGGTACGTGGATGACACTTTTGTCATCTGGCCACATGGCCGGCCTGCTCTAGACAAATTCTTCGACCACATCAATTCCATACACCCAGCCATCAGATTTACCATGGAAGTCGAAATAGATGGCAAGATACCTTTTTTGGATGTCCTAATTAA